TTGAGAACGGATCGTTGCTTTCGCACGCCCATGCACCGAGTATAATGTGGAATTTTTTTCGGGTCACATAGCGCTACAAGTGCGTCTTAGTGTTACTAGTTTTCCTTAGTGAGCCTGTAATTAGAGGCAAAGTTCTTGGGAAATTTCAGTCACCCATACTCGTTTCTGTGTGTTATTTCGTCGGGAACAACTATCATTTAATACATAACTAATGTATTGTATCTAAAACCGCTTACGACAAGACAAACCCGGCATCGACAAACTCATTCATTAACATCGTATTTCGTATTTCGCCAGAACAAACATTTTCAAATACTCGTTCTTTCCTCGAACCTTAAACGAATGGAACTGCCTACCTCAATCGTTAACCGGCTCTGTAGAGGCACTTGAGTGTATTTAACCATGACCTATGATATATCTTTTTGTATCTCTTGTATATGATGTAACTTTTTATTGTTCTTGCTGTTTTACACCTGTGTGCAATGCTATGATCTTGCCCCTCCTGCTGGGGCCCTTAAACGGGCCTGCAGTATTTTGTAAATAAATAATAAATAAATGATGTAACACTTTCATTAACATATCAAAGCCTATTGATCTTTAGGTGGGCCTTACCAGTAAAGAGCATGTTTCCGCCATCTTGGCAGTGGCAAGAGCTGGCTTCACTTCTGCTGGCAAGGCGTCGCGGGAACTTCCACTCCGGCAATTTTTCTTTAATCCTCCTTGGTAAAGACTTTTGTGCTCGAGGCATTTCGATCCGTGGCGCGAGTGGAGTACGCCGGACGGGGCGATGATGGGCAGTTCCCGCTACGTGTGCGTCATGTGATGCGCCGTCCACTGCGAAAAATTTCTCCTCTATCCGCTAGTGTGAATCCAGCATTAAAAGCCCCTTTAGTAATCTTATACAGGAGACGTCCAGTAGCTGTCCCGCTGAAGATATACTTTTACCTCGGCTCCTATGACAACGGGAGTAGCACAGCGTATAGAATCTTGATGCAAATCGCCCGGGTCCTTCTGGTGATACATTCAACGTATAAACGTTGCGTAGGGCTCTATTTCTGTTTTTTTTCGTTCCGCGAGTTTACATAGTTACTAAGCAGCGCCCGAGTTTGACATGCAAATGAGTGCATTGTTTATCCCCGTCAGAAGAGCCGAGGATAGATTTTTCTTGCAACCATGTGCCAGGAAAGCCTTTCAGCTGAATTATATACAGCGAACAAGATGACTTTGTTATTATTTTTTTGCGGAAAGATGCGAAACGTGGTATTGTATTGTAACTTTTTTTTGATAATTACAAAGTGAGCAGTTTATGAAATTTTGTTGTCCCCAGTTGCGCAGCAGTATATAAGGAATATGACCACCACTGCAGGCATAACTATGTCAACAAAGCTGTAGAGAACATCAAAAAGGAAAAAAAGAAAACGGCCTGATATATATATATGGTCAAGTCACAGCGCAAGAAAACAAATATTCTTCTTTATTATCAAGATGTTTATCTCATTTTTTTAAAATATTGATCATGCGTGCTCTCAACCGATGCAGTTTGGAGCAAACACGAAAAATGCGTTGATTAAAAGAAATATTTCGTGTTCCATCAGACGCCCATGTCTTTCAGAGCAGTTGTTTTTTTATGGTCGGCTCTATAGCTATTTTATTCCACTGATTTATTGCACACGTGTCGACTCAAGAACGTGCAAATCCTAATTATGTTTTTTTTCTGGGTACTTTTTACCCAGTGAATCTTCTGTGTTAAATATTAATTGATTGATGCTGTTAAGGGCATCGCTTCTAACGCCCTTTTCTGTTTTGTTTAATTTTTTTAAGCCTGAAAGCTCCGGCTGGTACAGACTTCTCGTATTCCACGAATACATTAGCACAAACAAAGTGAATCCGGCTAGATAGACACGACGTAGAGAAACACTAGATGGCACTCGTTTCAACAGTGACAGCTGAATTAAGCGTTGGCTTTCTACTTTACTGGAATTGAATATGAGCTTGTGCACGCTTTGCTTAGTTATTGGTGCTCAGTTAGATCTCTTAGGCTTTCATTACGTGCTTTCATCATTCGTCGTTTTTTTACTCTTTAAGCATGAAGCATGGAAGCACGACATGCAAGAGGTCATGTTCAAGTTTTTTTGTGTTTAAACTCACCGAGACTTGGAGATAAGAGCTTGCGTGATATCTACATGGTAGGCTATATGGTAGAATATTAAAATGAAGGTATTCTTCGGGCCTGACAATTGTTTTTTTTCTCTTTCAATTTCATCACTTTTCACGGCTGGATTACGCTTTTTATCTTATAGGATGTAAAATGTAAGCAATCGTATAACTTTGTGTGTGGCTTACCAACGCAGACTGTAAAGTGAAACTTAATCTCTTTCTTTTGAAGGATTTTCAGGCATCCTCGTTTTATGTTTTCATTTCGCAAGGAAAGAAAAATGGGAGAGAAAGAACGGCAGGGAGGTTAACCAGCCTATAGGCAGCCGGTTTGCTACCCTGCGCATGGGAGGGGGACGGGGGAGATGAAAGATAGAGAGGAGAGCAAAGTAACTGCAGTCCATCAGCACGTGTCAGGCGAAAGGACAAAGTCATCGACCCAGCCTCGTGTTGCGCAAAAGACATGTTTTTTTCTTTTTTCGTACATATATGCGGTCCTTCGCACACTTTGCCGGCTTTGGCGAAACTGATATGCCACGTGTCGCATGAGTTGGAAAAGCCTAATGTGCGTTAAATAGGCGTTGAAACCTTATTCCATCTAACTCACATTGGAAAAATAAGAATGAAAAATTTGAGCGACCGTGCTTTTCGGGAATGCTTCTTCAGCGAGTGGAGCGATATTTCGGTAAAGGTACGTTGGGGAAAGAATTTCCAGAAATGAAAATGAGCTTTGCGAAGACGGTGGCGGAAGAATTAAGAGAGAGAGAGGGAGAAAGTCGACAACCTCTCGTTTGTGGCACGGATCTGTTCGTATTTTTCAGAAAGGAAAGCTTCTTAGTTGCCGAAAAATTCGTCCTGTTCCGGGAATTTCACCCGGGACCAGCGCATGCCTTTCCGGGGAGATCGCTGAGGCCACCAAGTGGCCAACCAAAAAGCTAGCGATTCGCAGCGTGAAGGCGAATTCAGGCGAACGGGTGGTCGCCTATTTGTTCTTTCAGAATTCATAAGAGCTTAGCTGACTGGTATTGCCACGTGAAACTCATTTTCTCTCTTTTTAACGGCTTAGCTCCTAGTGACATTAAATTTTTTCACGTGCACACTGGGATTCACCTCTAGTCAAATGGGAGTGGAATATTGGCTTGAATGTTATGAAAGTTCAATAAGAAATTGAAAGCTCATAAAAGGGATGTTGTATATCAAGTCAACAGTGGACGCGCAGTATATCGAAGCATAAGGTTAGTGAAGGACCAGTCGGGTGTCATGATTATCAATAAAAATAATCGAATGAGTTATTGAAAGAGCAGACAGCTTTTTTGTTCACATCTGTGAATGTCGCGCCACCTGGCGAAGCAACTCCCAACTACACACATAGTTCCACGTGGTCTCGGTGATCCGCTTTGTCAGCGCGTCGGTGCGCTGCCAGAGTTTACTGCGAGAGTCCACAAAGAGACGAGTTCGCCTAAGTGAACCTGATGAGTGCGCAGAAAGAATAGACTGTTTTCTTGTGGACATGTGCTCACAAGGTGACACGTATACCTACTGAAAAACAGTCTTCTTTCGTTTACCTCTACCCAGGTGAAACAAAAGTTCACTAAAGGCCTTGGGCTGGCGTACGAATAAATGAAAGGTTCAGCTCAGCTGAAGTTCTTTTTTTCCTTTCAGCTACGAGTTTCAACCAGCCAAATAGTTTCAAGCGTTATTGCTGGACACAAGCTGTGCTCCTACTGTATTCTAAACTCTGCGCTTGTTTTAGATTATCCTAATCAGACTACACACGCGACGCTATTTTCGGGTAACACTCTGGTGGTGCACGAGCATCACAGACTATGCGATGCTATACCGTTACGAAGTCAGGTAACCAACGCGTTAGATCTCTAAGTCAGGTTTACCCCTATTAACAATGCACTGTGTTCGTCGAAGTCATCGTATATCTGTTGGAGTTACTTGCCTTGCCGGCCACAAGTTGCTCTCTGCTGGTTCTCGACATGTAATTCCTAGGAAGACACAAAACAGACTCCGTGCGATTGTCACCGCCACTTCTCAGAGTGACAGACCCCGTAGGCAGCACTGCATTTGAAACGTAGCTCTAAATGTGTGTTGAAGAACCACCCATGGGCTACGCAACACGAAAGCGGTACTAGTGTTTTTAAAGATATCAGGTCTCAACGCATCACAATCAATAGTAACTCCTTTGTGCGTGTTTGTGAGTGTGTGTTTGCACGCCTGTTTCTGTGTGCTCGTACGTTGACTGATCATCGTCTATAATCTTATTTACGACTAATAATAATACCATAACTAAAATAATGTCGAGGTATGTGATTTTTCAGAATGAGCTTTATATGCAACTGGGCACTGATAAATGACATTGGGAATCTCCAACGGCAGAGATAATAATACATTGCAATATTACATTTTATTTAAAAGCAACAACAATAAAATACTCAGAACTCGTGTCTATACTATATTATGTATAGAAAATCAGTTTACGTTATAAAGAAAAAAAAGTATCAGTAAACATAATAAAGCGTACAAGGAGGAAAACAAAATTTTTATTTTTAGAGTGAAAGGTTGTTTAACTTAACATTCATGAGCTTTTTTTTTCGGGTACAAAGCAGTTGCCAATATGGCTCTGTCAGAGTGTATGAGCGCTCAGCGTATTGATGGCAGTGGTGCAACCGTAGATGTAAAAAGGTAACAAACAAGCAACACTTTAAACGTGCAAAATGTCAAGAGTTATCAAGTGCACAAGGAACTGAAATACAAATAAACGTATGTGCTATAAGACAGGCACGCATATATATATATATATATATATATATATATATATATATATAAGAACGGTCACAAAATAATTGACGGCAAGATGTTACAATGACTACTTTCACACCTTTAAGGCCTTAATATATCAGCATAAGTTCGTTTCGAAATGAATCCACACTATCTTGCCCAAGGTTGACCCTTTCTGTCTAAAGCTGACAAAGCGCACTAAACCAGGTCTGAGCCCTGTGACTCTGCTGTAAGCGTCCTATATTTAATAAATAAAGTACCATGCGGTTCCTTAAGTAGGAGGCAGAATGAGATGTGGAGAATGCTCGCTTGAAGACACAGACTAGATTCGCTACAGGTTTTTTCGATAGGCCTTACTTCAAGCGTCGACTAGATCCTTAATTTCATCTTAAGTAGTTTGTCCTGCTGCCATGCTTTTTTTGTTTTTTTTTATGGCAGCGTAAATGTCTAGATGAAAGTGCAAGCCTGTCGACGAGCATGGAAAGTGGCACTTTGATTGGTGAGCACTGTAATCATGATGGCAGCGCTCCTTCACGTCCGTTCAGTGCGATAGAACAGAAACACGAGTGGGAACAATGTCGCTGTACACTAAAAAATAAGTTGACACCATCTAGAGAGTCTTCATTTCAGGAAAGCAAATGCCGTCGTGCTTGCTGGCATTTCATTTCCTAAGAACTGGACACCCGTCGCTTTCTAATCAAAAAGCCTATATGGCACGCTCTTATCGGGCACGTGACGCTAACGGAAAGGAAGGCACGCACGATAGAATACAATTGTTTATGCCTCGAGGATCCTCTCCGAATGGTATAAACTGTTAGGTAGTATGGTGGGGCACTCCTTGGAGTGTCCTTTAGAGGCGCTTGGTGCGGTCGTTGCGGCCTCTGACGGTGGTTGTCCTTTTTGGGATGACGACGCCGTTCTCTTGCTCGGAGGCGGCCAGTGCGTCGCGGGCGACCGTCCTCCGGCCCGGCAGGCAGCGTTCCTCCAGCAGCGTCGCCATCAGATTGATCGGCCTCTCGAAGAACGCGTGCAGCACGAATGCCATCGCGAACGACCCGACGCAGTTTCCGGCCACCACCGTCATCTGGAAGAGAACGGCTTTCGACAGAACAACTGCGCAATGCTAAGCTGCTTTCTTGGTACCAGCGTCTCAATAATTTCAGCTGGTTAGGAAGGCAAACAAGAGAGAGCGAGATAGAGGGAAGGCAGGGATGTGAACAAGGTTATCATAACTGGTAGGCTACCGTGCACAGGGGAAAGGGAGGAAGACATTGAAAAGAGAGTAAAGAGAAAGAGAGGGGGCCACATACCAGCACAACGTCACCGAGAAGAGCGGCAGTCTTGCGTGTTATATGGCATCATTATTAGTTTAAATTTTGTACATAAAAAAACTTAAGCTTGTTATGTTGAATGTGTATGCATTCTTCTACGTGTTCTCGAAAGATAAGTGCGCCTGTGGACATGTGTATGTGCAACATCGCGACAGCTGGCATAACAAAAAACAGACAGCCCCTAAAAAAGAAGGAAGAAATCAAGCACGCGTATGAAAATAAAACTTTGAGATGAAACTAACAACCTTGGGCAAACGACCTCACTAATCACAGAAATTACTCGGACCATGACTGGAAATCATTGCCAGCAAAAGGCGAACATCTTTCTCAATGACTTTCTTGTAGGTACTGGACTAGACAGTCTCTTGTGACGAGCAGTCATGCGTTACTATAAACTAAATGATTAGTCGGTATCTATACAGTGGAGAGAACTGAAAATGTGTGCGTGTGAATGTTGTGTTGCAATACTCTTGTAAGTAACTGCCCATTTCTATGCATTTTTTTTTCAAAAACTTGTTCCAGCTTGCTAATCGTTTTTACTTGTTAATTTTCGGTTTTGAGTAACCGATTTTTTTTTTCTATTTTTGCTGTAGAACATGTGGAATTAGAATAGACGAAATAATATATACTTCAACCTCTCCACAGCAAGGCAGTCTATAAAGAACAATCGCTGTAGGAAATTGACATCATAAAACTGGCGCATAAGAAAAAGTAGGCAACAACATTTTCGTAGGTTTCATATGTGATTATAAGCAGTTCTCACGTAACATGTGACAATTTCGCAGTGAAGTGTTTCTGCTTTAATTTATAGTGTCTTTTTTTTCGTTATTATGAAATCACCTATATGGCTGACTTAAGCGTTAAGAGTAAGTGAATGCAATCACTTCGTAAAAGCTTGAGCGAACGAAAAAAAAAAAACGCTCAATAAGGCAATACCGCTGTTTGGTTTTCTCGCAAGATATTGTTTGCCTTACCCTTTTCAAAATGTTTACCAACTTGGATAACGCTCCATGACGACTTTTAGCAATATTGCTCTTCAAATGTCAATAATTTCGCCGCTAACTTGACCGCTGTAAAACAGTCGCATTTCAAAAATGTCCCTTTTTTCATTTCAAGGGCCCGCTTCGCGACTTACTCAAATTTCCTCCTGTGAAATTTGTGTAAGCACACCTTCCGTAGCACTCCCCCCCTCTCCCTCCCGTGACATTCTCCCTCCCGTGACATTCTCCCTCCCGTGACATTCTCCCTCCCGTGACATGCTCTCCCCACCCACCCTTAGCTTTTTTTTTTCGACGTCAAAAGAACGTGAGCCCGGTCGCAAAAGAAAGTTTAATTCCCTCGCGTCGTAAGCTTGCCTTAAGACACATTTCGCTCCAGTGGCTCGTGGAAAACCCATGCTTGTTGCCGTTGAAGCGAACTTTATTAATAAAGTCTGGGAACAGACGCAAATGGTGGTATGCGAGTGCACTAGCACGCCGTGAATTGCCGTTTGGAGTGCGCTTAAGGAGGCCTCAAGATGGCGTCTCGGTTGGGCGCAATTGGGATTCTCTTCCTCTGTCAGCGCCATCGCTAGATAATCGAAGGAGCGCCAGGTCGCGCCGATGCAATATGTCGTACACAATTTCGCTCAAATTGTGAAGTGCTTCGAGCGTTCGAGTCTGCCTGTAAAAACCAAACAGTTCTGCGGAAGTTATAACTTGTTTGACCTTTCTAAAACCAAGTGAAAAGGAATCCGCGAAATATAGGTACCTGAGTTGTTTGTTTCAATTGTACGTGGTTGGGCCTGTTGGTATCTATTCATTGTTACGTCATTGGTTACGTTGTTGGTTAACTCACACGCTTATTCATTAGGAACGGGGCCAGCGCAGGAGGTTACTTTTAATAAAGGTACGGATAGCTTTGTAACTTATGCCCGCGATAATTTCTCTATTGAACGCTATGACATTCATATGCTTTTATCATTATTGCTTCATAACGCTGCATAGTTTTACTATAAGACTGAGTGGGCCGCTTTGTTTGGCGAACCTGAAAAATGGCCTGCGACATATTCTAACTTTAAGCCGAATTTTAAAGTTGCGCACAGGTTTGCATACTCAGAATTGCTTGAAGAGCTTTTGGTCGGCATTTCATAGGGTTTATGTCGTTGCACGTTTTCAGGATTTTTTTGCTCCTGCCTCTATCAGCCTGATCGAACCGTGCAATGAGGTTTTCTGTGTTTTTTTTTTATCTGAGGAAACAATGAAAGCAATGAAGCAAATGAAGCTTAACAAACAACGGGCAAAACTGCTGCAAAATAATGCGTCTTGTGATTTATGCGGCACGAGCAATAAATCAACTGAAACAAAAGCAGCCAGCGGATCCGAGGACTACTCGTTTGGTGTCTTTGCTCTATTATGTTATGTTTTAACGGGCTTGCTGCAGAGAAGCTAACATTTATACTACCACAGGCACTCCATTTCTATAAATTCTGTGAAAAAGAAGTAAAAAAAGAAAAGAAAATAATGCTTATTCAAAGTAACAAATGGGCAAACCATTTTTTTGTGACGGATAGTTTGTTTGTATTTCCTGCGATTATCTTGTGACATTATGTTTGAAGTTGTTACCACGACGTATGTATTCTTTTTTCATTCTTGTTTACGTGAAAAATACATCTAAAGTACAACAAATACGGCATTACATACCATCTATGGGTGGCTTAAATGATACTACTGTTAATTGAGCAGCGGCTAATATCAAACCTTGGCATTTTAGCTTGAAGAAAGACGCATCAGATGGCTCTGCTACATCGAAGACGCCAAGCTGCGTGAAAGAAACACTTATAGTCCCATTGACTGGAGCTTTATTTGTTTGCGCTGGTTCCCTAATGTCGCAATCTTTATTTTATGTTAAAAAGTTCCAACTAGTTTCACATGCAGGCAACATTGCATCGTTGTTTGCATTTTCTTCCTGCTCTCAAAAATCTCATGTGGATTCAATCTCATCCTTGTCTGGTATACTATTTTTGGTGAAAGTGGGCACACCAATACGTTTTATACCGCTGCACAGTTTAACTGGGAAGAACCCATGCGGAGTGGTCTGTTTCTTTCGCAACGTAATTTCGATCTCGAAACCGGAAGTGGAATGGTTCATTTGTGGCGTGTCTGATGGCGAGGGTCCTGTCAAAGAATTCTGACGCTTCTGTAGGTTTTTTGGTTATTGCTCTCGATAAACTTTATAAAGAGGATGATGGATTAGGTGCTCAGCGATAGCCTGGAGTATATACGCAGGATAACCGAAGAAAAAGGAAGGACGTAAAAGTAAACAAACCGGATACCACTTTAGAGCTATAGCAATCATATTGATAAAAATAAGGTTATTGTATATTTTAGCGGGAAATCACTGCTGTATGCTAAATGTCGTAGCGACATTGTCGACAATATAGTGCAGGTGCAACGGTTCACGGCTTTTTTTTTAATGCACTGTGCTTGTTACGCGGGCAATATGTGTCGCGCGAGCAGCACAATGAACAGCAGCATTGCGAAGTTAATAGATGAGTTTAGTCGTCTATAGAAAACTAGGAAGCATGGCTCACTGAAACAAACGCCAATAATACGTCTGAGTCAGATCTCTGATTGGAAAACAATGGTAACAATGGGTTGTCCGTGGTACCCCTCGGACGTTTTTGTGACGCACCTTCATCGAAATGCGGCTCCTCTGGCCCGGCGGCCGCACTTAGACGGGGTTCATGCAAAAACACACGTGACCGTGTGTCATAAATTTTTATGTCTATTAAAGAATCCCATGGTGGTCAAAACTAATTGGAGGCTCCCATTGCTGCACTCAGTCATGCCTTGGTTTCCGCACGCAAAATCTCATATATCAATGTGTTGAGATTGTTTCTAGAAATGTGTCCGAAAATCCTGCAAACTATCATGCGATATTTTCTTGCTAACTTCATAGTTAATCTTCTTTGGAGACAGACGTATGCAAATGAGTACAAACAATCACTATGACAGGACCTATAACAATTAAGACTGTGAGCTTCGCAATTACAGAGAGAGGTGGTTGGTTAACAAGAAAGAACTTGAGCTCTTTCTGCGAGGAATCCATTGACACTTTTATATTTAAAAAGAAACAGTGGTTGATAAAAAACGGCCCTATTTCGACTCCTTATTTCTTCATTTCTTTACAGGGTAGCGAACCGGTCGCTAACACCAGGGTAACCTTCTTGCCTTTTGTTTTCGTGTACTCTTCTCTCTCTTTCTCCCTCTCTCTCTCCATGAAAAAAGAAAATGGCTGCCGGTGATTTTTTTTTTTTTTTGAGTGATAAGATCCGTTCAGTTTGACTTGCAGAAGTGAAATACAAGCTCCGAAAAGCGCAGCTACCATAGTATTTTGAGCCGCTACGCATACCGATAACGATAGTTATAGCGCGAGAACAGAACGACGACAAAGAAACAAGAAGGACACGAGCGCTCGTGTCCTTCTTGTCTCTTTGTCGTCGTTCTGTACTCGCGCTATAACTATCGTCATATCATACCAACTAGCCCAAACTGCCACCCTTCTAAGCCACGCATACATACGTAATTGAAAACGACTGACTTATTTCCAACGGTTTCTAAAAAAAAAAAAGACCTGTCTTCGTCACAAGTATATTATCTTAGCGCTAGAGTTTCCTCTAAAATTCGTTTCGTATAGCACATGCAATGAATCGCTATTCTTAATTTAGTCTCATGAACCATATAAAATCGCTGGGTCATCTGTCACTATCGCCTGAAGCCCTGACGCGCATCGCGCGAGCATTATTGCAATTAAAACAACGCCATGCACTGTACAATTACTTCTCTCTGTAGAACTCAGGGGGTGTTGTCCCCCTGACTTTCGTTGTAAATATTGTCCGAGTACTTACCATGAAATAGTAGCCGCCGTTGACTCTGCTAGGAAAGGCGACCCACTGGTAATACAGCATGAAGTCGTGAATGATGTAAATGCTGTAGGAAAGCCTGCTGATCGGAGCCCATCCGGGCCACGCCAGGGCGTCGGTCAGAAACCCTGCGTATCAGACGTGACTGATAGTCACTTCAGAACAAGAACACAAGAGCACCGATCTACGCGGAACATTTGTGTTTCTGAGAAAAAAAGTTCAGGCAACTCATATATTAAATGGCGATTCAGTTAAGACAGTGTTGAATTTTTAGTCTTATTCAATGTATTGTCTACCATGGTGCATTTCTCATCTTTTATTGTTATTGTTTTACTAATACCCAATTTTTATTATTTAATTTACTTTCATCCTAGTTACCCAATAAATTATTTCTCATTTTGTCTTTTTTTACTTCTCGTCAACTTTATTTGTCTTTATTGCGATAGGAGAATGGACACTGCACATTGTCACACCTAATTGCAGAATAAATATTGATTTACTTATTTAAAAGTACTATGACAGCCTCTGTAGAAAGAGAGATAAAAAGAGAAATGAGATGTGCAAAGGCAGGTGGGGTAACCGGAAAGCAAATATCTGGTTTGCTACCCTGCACTGGGGAAGGGGAGACAGGAAAGTATAAAGAGAGAATGAGAGAGGGTAAGGAAGGGAAGCGAAAACACTGGAATGTGACAATTGTTCGATGAGGCGGGTCGATCGCAGAAGCTTCAACAGCGCCTTCGTCGCTTTTCGGAGTGAAGGGCCTAGGTGTGTGATGCTTCAGCGCAAGCGGAGAGGGGTAGCTCTTAAAATGCGGATATTTTATACACTAAAGAATATACATGATTGAGATCAGACCATGAGTGGCACTGCCCATGGGAAGACATTCTCTTCAATATGCTATATGGTGTTCAAACTAAAGGCTCTTTGAGCCCCAGACGACGTTTAATTTCTAAGCAGGATTTTCTCGGAGTGGAAGTGCAAGAAAGAAAAGAAGGTTTGTGAGAAATATGAATTATTCCTGTAAGTTCATGTTATCGTAGTTGTCTCCTCACAAGCTTTTAGTCAAAGAATGGGAATGGAATTTTTCTATTCACCACTGCTGAACCGTGGCTGATTCCAATGAGCTACGCGTGAGTTCCCGATGTTCATGGTTGGGCTTTTTAATGAAAAAAGAAATAAATTTTGTCCTTTCGCTCATACTGAAAATTTACGAGCACTTTTTGGATGTGGAGACGTCCGTTCTGAATTTTTAACATCCTTAATTACCGACTGAATCTATTCAAGACACGCACTACAGCATAAGAACGTACCTTGCCGGAGTAAATATAAAATTCCGATTAAACGTCAATAATTCTGTATGCCTTCCTGAATGAGCAGCTGCTTTGCGGAAAACAGTGCGAATAATAATAATAATAATAATAATAATAATAATAATAATAATAATAATAATAATAATAATAATAATAATAATAATAATAATAATAATAATAAACTTCCGGAAATTGTGGCAGTCCTCAGACATTTCTAGCGTTCGCAAATGCTGTCCCTAAAACACCGCTGGTAGATGCAGAGAATTTGAGGACAACTCTTGCCCGTTGAATTAAACATTTCAGCGCTTTCCAGAAATTGTGGTTCCTTTTAAATTTTTTGTTACTCATATTGAACATTTACCCGGCAACGGCAGTAACACTCTTAAGCAAGACAAGTACTCACACATGATGAAACTTACTAATCGGCGTCGGCTAGATTTCCTGATAAAGTGGAGGTTGTAAAAGCGTAAGTGGCGTAAACGATTTCTTCACATGTGTGCACAAAAAATACGCCAAAGTGAATCACCGTCACGAACTGAGCCTGCTTAGTTATAGGAGCTCGTAGTCTTGCTTTAGATTAACGAAATGATCTTAGAACCGTATTTAGCAGTGGAAATGTCGTAAAAACAACAGTGTGACTTAAACAAGAGGGGGGGGGGGGGGATGAACAACAAGAGAGAAGGCAGGGAGGTTAACCAGGCACATGCCCGGTTTGCTACCCTACGCTGGGGGAATGGGAAGGGGCATAAAGATGAGAGAGAGGGGAAATAGACTTAAACAAAGCCATAAGATAAAGACTATAAGAGAGCAAGCGGCGTTCATCTCTCTACTCTTGGGTTTATGCTTTCCTCCTAAGTCGTGCTGATTGGTTTTAGATGTATTAGAACTGATTGGCCTAACCATCAAGTTATCCAGGGGCCCTTAAAGTACGCTCATTTTTCTTTATCAATCGCAATAACGTTCGTATTAGATATGATCAGTAATCTTTTTGTTAAAATCTTACGATGGAGTGAGTAATTAACAAAAACATAAGTGAACATAATGATCAGTAAAGCAGTTTTCGCAGCGCTTTTTCTAACCACACTATGGAATATTTATACAGCAGAGTAAAACCATGTTAGCCAACCTCGCGTATGTCATGTTCAAGGCATTCAAGGCTGAACACTGAGTCGCAGGCACGACGGGCACACCGTTTTAGGAACAGAAAACTAGTCAGCACACCCTGCAGTGCTACTTTATGGTGTCGACGCTTGAAGCTTTCATTTTTCCGTGACGTCTGTCTCCCATATACGAAGTTACGACGATACCCTTTTCGCGTGTATGAAGTGACTTTTTTTTTCTTACCACCGCGGTCTGTGAGGCAGGCGTACATCAACCAGGCGAGGCCTCCGCAGTAAAAGATGCGAGTGGTGGCGGCATAGACGGCCGTGACGGCCTGGGACGGCTGCTCGACTCCTGTCCACAGAATCGTGCCGCACAGGGACATTGTGATGGCCGCAAGCGCTGCAACCCAAAGGATGGCCACTTTGCGCTGTGGAGTAATGAGTCCTGGTCATCCAAACACCCCCAGTAAAAGATCTTGGTAAACTCAAGTTTTGGGCTGGTTGATTTTTTGCGTTACGAAATAGAAATAGCGCGATATTTTACAGTGCGCTTGTGCGCGTTTTTCTTTTTGTCTTGTATTAAATATTCCGGTGTTCAAATTCCTTATAATCTGTCGTGAAGGAAAGAAATTGTAAATTAATGCCGGTTTTCGTTATTAGACAATATATTATTGAGAAGTAACAGACACTAATGCCAAGGCAAGTTTAGGGGAAGTTATCAGAAGTAATTGTAATGTAAACGTGAAGAAAAAGAAGTGGACTGAATGATCCTGCCGCTGGCAAGTTGTCTCCTCGTCTACTTTTCTTTCATCACATTTACATTAAAATTACTCCTAATAACATCCCTTAAAATTCACCTAGCATTATTGTCTGTGAGTCCTTATTAAATCTCTGTCATGTAAAAAAGAAAAGCGGTACAGATATATTTAGACATTTATAAAAAGCGTTATTTAATCGGCGTTATCTGTTCCGACACAGGAAAGATTTTTGTAGACCATCCGCAAGTTAATCGAACCCATACCCGTCTAGGAAATAATATGTACATGAAGAAGCAAGAGGCTGGACATTGAACGAGCTCGTTGCAGAGATCAGTTAGTTCACATATATTATCAAATTGTTAACGGTTCATACAAACGAATGAGCACAAACTTACAGGTTATATTTGAAAAAAAATGTCGCCGTTTCTCATGCCCTCTTTTACAGCCAGGAATACTTGAGTGTCTCTAAACCATCACAGAAGGTACAAATAGCTTATAGATCATGTTTTTTTTTTCTCGTGACGCTTTTTTTCCCCTTGTGTTACTTAGTGACAACAGTTCGATTAGTTTTACATCATCAGAGTGCACACTCCCTATTGGTTTGTGTAAGAGGTGTATCAATTGTGATTTGTTCACCACCGTGCGTTTCGATAAAGTCAAGCACCGGGTTTGTTCGGCCGTTTCGCTTACGTTCGTGCGCGATGCACAAATGTTAACTCGAGTTCACTCCGACGCTGAAATCTCAGCGACACAGTTTGATTTAGCGCTATGACATTAAATCATCTTGCTCTTAGAGTACCCTCACGTGAATGAAATTATGTGATAAGTTGCGTACACTAGGCTCTTGCCTCTCAATAGTAAATTGTAGGAGAAATAATTGGGAAAAAAAATCACCGAGTTTGAAGTATACGACTTAGAAAATTTTGCCGAGGACGTTTAGGAGTATGAACTGTCAATCAGTTGTGCATACTCGGTGAACCTAATGGGTTCAATCTATTAAACCTTTAGCTTCAATGTTGTCAGAAGTGCTTAGCTGAGTATCACTTAGTTAAAAAGAAGGTACTTGCATATAGCTTTCACTGTCTGTTATATTACCATGAAGGCTGCGCTTCTTCAGATATATATACTTGTGATTGTTTTTTTGTGTGTGCTTGGAGTTTGAAAATCTGATGTAGTTTTATCATGAAGGTGTCATTAGAAACACTGAATGCTTATCGAACACACACACATACACATGATACGGGACCAGTATGTCTAGCATCATTTTTTTTTTCTACTTTTGCGCTTGGCAGACGGCGTCTTTTGATGACTGTCAATCTCAAGCGCGGCCTATAGAGGCGTCGGCAGCAGTTTGCAGTAGTTTGCAGAAAAAAAACTTTTTCAAGTGCTGGTTTTTTTTTCTCTGCGTACGCTGCGAGACTTTTTTATATATTTACACCATTTTGGCTTTCAAAATTTCGCTGTATTCATTTGTTTGATATTTGAGCACTGACTACGTGGTTATAGAGTGGTCGATGAGAGAAAAACTGCCTAACACAATGTCGCGAAAAATTTAACCGCTCTTACTACTTTAGGATGCAGGAGGGATTATAAAACAACAACGAAATATGATAGTTCATTTTTTTTATGCTTACCCTTGATAGCCTCCGTGAAGGCTGTTTTGTGTAGTAGTAGCCTGCGAGGACACCTATGCAGTAGCTCGGAATGTGGGTGTAAGGCATGTAGTAGACGGAACCAGCGTACTTGTGTCTGCGGAACGTGATGGAGAAATCTTAGATATTAGTGGTCTTTCCTTCGTGGAGTTTGTTTGTCAGTAATAGAAAACTAGCTTGATCGCCTTTTAGTCGTAAACAGAGAAGTTCGTGCAGCGAGCTAGCCGACATTCTGCGTGCATGCTTCGCTTGTACCGATCAAAGCCGGCTAATCTGTTAGCGTCACTTAATCCTGCTACCCCATTACTGTTAGTACAAAGTGGCAGTAAAAAGAAAAAAAAGTTGCATGCTAAGCAACACGCCCATGAGGTATGTTGCGTGACCAAAATTACGTCATACAATTGTAAGGCTTAAAGGTGACTTTTCTTTTGTATACTTTTCAGCTGCTTGTTAAGTGCGCATTACTAAGGGATGTAAGTATTTTCCACGGCACTGCTGTTTATTTTTTTTTTTGAGACTACAGCACTCAGGTGCCCGTTTCTGGTTGGCACGTCGTCCCTCATTAGAAAGTTTCAGAATACCGTGCATAATGCTTACGAATTTTTCAGGCTTCTATTGTTATAAAGTTCGTCACTCAATGATAGGCCGCAAGAGAGTGACGTACGACGCATGCGTGACGCAGTTCTGGAATTAAATTTTCCATTCTCCCTCGCCGCGACTGCATGAACGAGTACAGTAAGATAATTGTAGGCTCCCGCGCCTCGAGCTATGCGGCGTTCTTCTTTAGCCGAGGTCGACTTCATTAACCATGAACATTCGTTCCTGAAACATTAGATGAATCGAAATAAACAAAACTAAATGACAAGAAAGGAGACCGGCTGACTATCGCTGCAGAATGAAAAAAAAATCTAAAATAAACAAGAAAAGCAAATTAGAAAAGGGATAAAAAGGTAAAGTAAAACAATGACTGAACGTCATTTTGTGCCGCTGAAGCAAAAGAATTTTTTAGAATAATCCCACGAATTGTTAACAAGAATAGAAATTTCAAAGAACCACAATTGTAGCCATAAACATTAAACAAATGGAAATAAATAGTTGTCAGTAATTTACATGCATACAAGCATTCATGCATACAAGCACTTTGAAAGCATTCATATTTGTATGTCGCTAAATGAATGCACTCGCAACGCTGCCATCACATTTCACGTTATTCAGTGTCGCAGTCGTACTTTTTTATTGCTATGATAATTATCACCGTTCTATATAGCATGCTGAAACTGCATGGTTTATGTATTTCAGTGGAGTGGAGACGCTTGTTGGCACGCGTCAAATCAATAGCGTGGTGCAAAAGCGAAGAAATTATTTTTTTTTTGGGGGGGGGGGGGGGATACTGCATTTTTCAGTATTGAAACGCACGTAAAATTTACGAGTCTTATGATGAAAGAATTTGTTAAAATTCAACCAATTTATTGAATAATTGAGCTGCAAATCGCTTGGTTAAGCTTTCTGGAACTCCGTAAAGTAAAATATTGACTTTATCCGTGCGACATTTTGCAGAAATTTTGAGATGTCTGCGAACTTCGAGCAAATAAAAGGACAATGTTCACAAAATCGCAATTCCGTACTAAAAAATGCATATCGCAGTATCGTAATCTGGACCTGCTTGAGAGTCTAGACTAGATTGCTTCAATACATTAGTTTATATCTTACTTGAATGTGTTTCTACGTTCATAAGCAGGGCTTTGACATTTTTATATCCTCAGTTTAGAGACACATGGCAGAGGGTTTTATAAAATGCACGCCTTGTTCACTTACATGCATTATTCAAGTTCATATTTATTTATTTATTAGAATACCCTCAGGGCCCGTAGGGCATTACAGAGGGGGTGGGTACAACATACATAACACACAAGAAAAAAAGACAAAATGAAGAAACAAGTGTTAGATGCGCAAATCAAGAAGGCAACATAAGTCAACTAAAAATGTATAAGAATTCAAGCACATACAAGACAAAGATAGATAATGGAAACTGCGTATAGTTACAAGCATTGCTGAGAAATTGCAGTCTTGAATAACAAAGGGTCTGTTATTGATACAACGGAAGAGGGAAGGTGGTTCCAATCGGCGGCTGTTTTCGGTAAGAAGGCTGCTGAAAAGAATTTGGTGCGGCAAAACGGAATGGCAACCTTATGCTGATGATCAATGCGCGATGAGTGGTATGACGGTTGTGAAATGAGGTCTCGCTTCATTGATGGATTGTGAAAAAATATCTTATGAAAAAAATGCAGTCGCGCCAGTTTCCTCCGGACAGTTAAATTGGGTAGGTCAAGGTTAGATTTCATTTCTGATATGCTAGCAGTACGGGAATAATTAGAACAAATGAACCGAACTGAGCGGTTCTGAACAGATTCTAACGCGTTAATTAAATTTTGCTGCACGGGATCCCATATAGCGGACGCGTACTCAAGCTTTGGGCGAATTAGTGATCGGTATAATAGAATTTTGAGGGACAGCGGAGCGCGAGAAAAGTTGCGGCGTAAGTATCCTAGCGTTTGGTTAGCGTTATTACAGATGTAGGTAACATGCGTGTGCCAAGATAGATTGTTGGTAATGTAAACGCCGAGGTACTTATATGAAGAGACATGCTGGAGGGGAACGGCGTTAATTCTGTAGGTACAGGGGGGAGAAATAGATCGCCGGGTTATTGACATGCATTTAGATTTGTTAGAGTTGAGAGTCATAAGCCATTTATTGCACCAGGTTGAGACAGTGTCAAGGTCTGACTGTAGAAATTGGTTATCATATTCATTGTTTATTTCGCGGTAAATTACACAATCATCTGCAAATAACCTTATAGCGGAGTTAATGCTGTCTGGGAGATCATTAATATATATAAGAAAAAGTAAAGGGCCTAATACGGAACCTTGGGGTACGCCGGATGTTACTTTAGAAAGAGGTGAGTTATAGCCATTAGTTGTTACAAACTGAGTGCGATTAGTCAGAAAGCATTCAATCCATTTAAGAATGTTCGGGTCAATGTTTAAGGCACTAATTTTCAGGAGAAGTAATTGGTGAGGTGCTTTATCGAAAGCTTTTTGAAAGTCAAGAAAAATGCAATGCACAAGTGAGCCGCGATCTAAAGCCGATGCTATGTCATTAGTAAAATAAAGAAGTTGGGTTTCACATGAGTAACTTTTTCGGAATCCGTGCTGGTAGGGAGTAAAAAAAGAATTTGATTCTAGGAATGAGACAAGGTTGGAGTAAATTATATGTTCTAACATTTTACAAGGAACACTGGTTAGGGAAATTGGTCTGTAATTGAGAGGAGACTGTGTGTTACCAGATTTGTGCAGAGGGACCACCTTCCCCACTTTCCAGTCAAGCGGCAAAGTGGAGGTCTGAATAGATTGCGAAAAGATTAAGGACAAGTAAATTGATGAATACAATGCAGTGTTTTTTAGAAACTTTGAGTTGATTTCATCTACGCCACAAGAAGAGGATAACTTAAGCTTGTGAATTAAATTTTGCACTCCAACGGCATCAACGGTAACAGGATACATGGGTACAAAATCACGACTAGGCATTTGCGGCAACGCAGAAGCAGAACAACTTGAAAAATAAGTAACAAAAAAATCATTTAATGCAATGCAACACTCTTCACAGCGAACTGGCTGCCCATCTGAGTTCGTAAGCGAAATGTTTTTCTTTTCCCTAGGTTTAACAGTTTTCCAAAACTTAGAAGGGTTGGTTACAAGAATTGAGGGAAGGGTATTATTAAGAAAAACGCGCTTGGCTTCCTTGATAGCTGCTCTGTATTCGGAAAGGACAGATTTGTACATATTATATGATTCTGGTATAGTTTCCCATATTTTCCGTATATTGCTTCCCATAATGCGGTGATCGGGATTCATTTTCTGAAATTTCCCCCTTTAACCATATTTATAAAATACTCGATGGCCATACAAAAAATATGCTTCGTAAAAAGGAACTAAGTTTTAGCCTTTGTATTTTTTTATTCAATAACTTTCAGTAATGTTGTTTGCGTGGTTACCAAACAAAACAATTTTTTCTGGTCCATTGTATTAGGTTAGGAGTTCTAGAACTAAAGTTTTCATTTTGCCTTACGTTCAACATGACGCGGTTAACATGTCACACACACACGAATTTGTAAGACGTTGTAGTGAGCCCACTGTCACCTTCCCAGAGGAGTGTAATACAAGAGTCCCGGTGTAAGCTCCAGCATGTGGTTCTGGACGTAGGTGATCAGCGTCGACAGGCCCATGATAATCAAGAGAGATCGCTTGCTGCCACTCCTGAAAGAATGCAATAGCAGGAATACTGTTTCGTTCTTTTTTTATTTTTGTGTTGTTTCGCTGTCACTGTTTTCTTTTTGCAAAATTTCTACGCAGTATTTGTACACATGGTCATTTATGCCTGTTGCCATTTCAAAAGTGTATATAACCTGTACTGGATCTATTCGAAATGACTCCAAATAAGGCATATGCTTGTATTCTGGCAAACTAGGGCCACTTATTACTACCATTTTATAGCGCCTTCTGCCGCCACCGCTACCTCTGCTTCATGCAACTGGGGGTGAGAGCTAGTCAAGCGGCTAGTCGCCTTTTTTGTCATTCCTTCCGCCAACACAATATATAAAAATAATAACAAACAGTTATATTATTATTATTATTATTATTATTATTATTATTATTATTATTATTATTATTATTATTATTATTATTATTATTATTATTATTATTATTATTATTATTATTATTATTATTATTGTTGTTGTTGTTGTTGACGTATTCACTTGTGGGTACGTACTCTTTCGCGCTCAATATACAATGGCAAGGGATACATGAAATGAAATTTGAAAAGTCGTATTTTGTAATGAAGATGTATAATTTTGCTCTATTATTCGTTCAGGTGCGAGAAATCGATATTGTCATCACAGTTCAGGCGATACTTTTGTCACTCAATTAGTAGGTTCGCGGGAAGAGCTGAACCATTCGGCACATACTATGTCCTGTAATGCCACAGACTCACGTGCGATGAAGACAGTGAAGTAAAGCGAACAATGTCAGCACGTATACGCTTGACGCCAGTGTCATGATAACATGCTAATGTGCCGCAGAGGTTCATTAGTTCAACGTTTCACGGTGTAGAACCATTTATCTCGTTGTCCAAGCATGAATGGCTTCAACGTCATGCATTGTTAACGACGGAGGAAGTGCCACTTCCTGATAAACTTGACTCTTCCATTTGTTTTTTAAGGAAATAGCAGTTTTTCACAACACCCAGGGAGATGTCTGCATGCCTCTCAAGACGTTACCTGACTCGAAAGTTGCGCTGGTCACTTAACATTATGGTACAAAACAACATTGAAGGTTCGCGCTGACCACCGCGTTTAAGCACGAGTTTAATAGTAATAACGTTTTCGAAGCAAGGAATAGAAAACGCTTGCCTTTTTAATCTGTACGCAAAGTAGAGCGTTATTGTGAAAACTTGAAAGTCCATTCCTGTATACCAGTGTTGTGGACTGCACTGGAACGCAAAAGAAGGGGCGTTGATTATGTCATCGGTTAGTTGAAAATGGCTCCTATGCCCTGCCCGTTGGCGTGAGATTGAACACATTAGTGACGCCCTTTACAGATGAAGGAAGGAAGGACGGAAAATAAGAGGTAAAGAACAACAGGGAGGTTAACCAGCCTATAGGCAGCCGGTTTGCTACCCTGCGCATAGGAGGGGTAGGGGGCAGATGAAAGCTAGAGAGGAGAGAGGGAAGAGAGCACGGATAAAGAGGTGAATTATGTATATAGGACTAGATGTGATTGTCTCACCACAACATTCTCACTGTAGCCTACAAAGAAGAATGTGTCTTTTGGGATTGCCGAGAAAACTTGTACTTTCAACCGCTGTCACATGAGCAGAAACATCACGAGAGATGCCAAACCACTGGCGAATTTGAATGGAGAGACTTATGAGTATCGTTATCTTGCCAAGGCATCATTGTTTGGCCCGCGTCATTGAGAAACGGAAGCGAGGGGGAGGCAGTAGTAGCATACGCCATGGCGCTTCGCATGTTCTCGCTATTTTCCCTGCTGCCAGAACTAGAGTCGACAGCGACGTGCCGCTCTACCAATGACGTCATGTGTGACGTTTCCGCTCACATCCCGTGACTTTCCTGGACGTAACACACTTCATTGGATTTTGTTGATTTCCATTTACAAACACGTGTACAACACAGCCGCAAATAGAGGTAGATGAGGCTGACGAGCTGCACAAACGCGGCTTCACCTTGACCCCTTTTAGCATGGTGTGACTGACTATGCGGTAAAGTACGAGATACACATTGTATAACATCCTGATATATTGACTGTAAAGTGTGAGTATTATATATGAGAAAAAAATGAAGATTTGCACTATATTCAGATAAAGCGGCAATAAAATAAATAAAATTTCTTCGTAACACGAAAGAAAACATGAAAAAATATATAACACACATTACTGGCATTCATAACACGATTGAATTACCGCAATAACATTTTCGATTCTGATGATGCTAAATTCTGTAAATTATAGTCTTCGTAGATTATTGCATATAGCAATCTGTAGCTCTAGTTTGTTTTAAAGTGCGGACTCTTCCACATACTTCTTGTGTATGATTTCACAGATAGGTTAGCAAATTATGTCAATTAGGCATTATTACGTTTAGCACTAAAATACTGTTCGCGTAAGAGCCCAGTTAAATGATTATCGGGTACATATAGGGTAATTGTGATCTTTAGATATTGAAACACGCCACATGCAGCGTCTCTTTGAGTAAAGCTGCGTTCAGATTACAGCCCCATCTGTCATAAGTGTCGCATCGCGTATGTCAACATACGCGTCGACCGGCCACGTATGCTGACATTAATATTTTCGGTACGATACGCTTTTTATGATGCACCAATCACGACTACCCGCACGTCGCGGGATAAAATCCCGGTTGCGGTGGCTGCAGTTTTCGATGGAGACGAAAATGCTGTAGGCTCGCGGGCTTAAATTTGGGTGCACGCTGAAGAACTACAGATGGTCGAAATTTCCGGAGCCCTCCACTACGGCGTATTTCTTAATTACATGGTGGTTTTAAAACGTTAACCCCACATAACAATCAATCAATCAATCAATCAATCAATCAATCACGACTCTGAATGTGCGTTGGGTTCTCACTGCAATTGCCTTGGAAGGTTCACGTGTTTGATTATGGCTGAGATGGTTGGGCGAAAGCGGAGACTCGACATGAACTCTCATTAACGCCTGCCACGTCTGCCCTCTAGTACGCGAAACCAACTGCACAGACACGCTATCACACGGCTTTTGAGACGCGCACGAGTAATCTTGGGAGGCCGCAAGCCCCGCGAACGCAAAATGAAAACCGAAATTGCTTTGCCCATCGGTAGTACGCAAAGATTGCATCAGTAGTTCTCGTAAAAGTCGCTGGCCCACGCACATTTACTCCCCAAACGTTACGTAATTTGCGCTCAGCATTTGAACGAGCTTATTACGTTGCTAGCGTTTACGCTTATGATCCTTAACGAGGATCTGTGCGTAGCGTACGTAGTTTGAACATAACTTAACGAGTCCATTACTACTTTGCTCGTATACTACTAGAAGTCGTTAGGAGTGTATAATTTTGGCTAATACTGGCTTAATTAGAGCTACTGTAGGCTACGAGCTCTTAGAATACCGGCATTGTATTCGTTCAATGTGGGTCTGTACCATTTTTTTTTGTGTGTAATTGAAAGTCACCATTAGGCGTTAGACATCTGTGGTTGTTATCTGATTACCTTGAGGCTGACAGTGCAGTTGTATATGAAACGTAATGTGGACTTCCTGGCCTTTTTCTCAGCAAGATAAACGACCGGATCCGTTCTACGGCGTCGCCACACACGACTGAGACACGGACTGCGCTTTTGTGGCGACTCGGAGGAGGACGCGCGTGGCTTCGGGTTGCACCAATGATCCGTATTAATGGTAGCCGTCTGTTGTTTTGCCGCGTAGACGTAGCGAAGCGCGTCATTAATAAAACGGGAGACCCTTCAGATGGTGTAAGAAAAAGCGTGCGAAAAACGGTGACAGATAACGATCTGCTATACAAACACAGATTGCACTGGCTCTCTGAGCGGGCTAAATGATTCAATAGGGCGTTTGTTATTCCTCGCACCGAAGCATGTTTGAAAGAAGAAAAAATAGGAAATAAGTCAGAATGTTTCTTCATTATCCGCTTAGCGTGCTTGCCGCTTCTCATTCAAGGACACGTAGTGTGTGAGCTGAATCACGTCTCGTTTTCTCAGTAATCTGTTGCTGCCGAATAACCCGCTTCACGCGCCTGCAAAGTGGCTTTGTGCATGTTTTGAGGTCTCTTTATTCTATACGAGTGGGCTTCAAAAAAATATCAGGCACATAGTAATATCTCGACTAATTGAAGTATTGCAACAAAATAGAAATCATGCAATGCCAACTATCACCACACAAAATTATGTTCACAGACAAGCATGAAAATTTCCCGATCAAACACTGATTTATGATGCGCTCGATTGAGCCAAGTATTATCAGCAGTGTGTAATCGTCGTTTTCAAGATACAGCGCTGCTCGAAAGAATGCCTATGTGTCGCACAGCGCCACAATTGCCACAGTTTTTGTTCATTTGCCTGCACCAAATGGCCTCTTTAAGCTATTTCTTTCTGTGAGAAAAAAATAATTACAAGCACCGGGCGTTGCCCTTGATGGAAGCCTGTCCTTCATGCACATTCGACAAAACAGAAACAGAAGTGTGCTCAGTGATTTACAACCTTCCAGTGGCTCACGAAGTGAGTCGTCTATTGAAAGGCACGCCGTGTATAGTGGAGGGCTCCAGAAGTGTCAATCATCTTGTGTTATTTAACGTGCGCAGACATTGCACAGTACACGGGGCTCCAGCGTATCACCTCCACTGAAAAGTGACCGCGCGGATGCAGTCGAAACCTCGAGCCCTGCCGTGGTGGTCTAGTGGCTAATTAAAGTACTCGGCTGCTGACTCGCAGGTCGCGGGATCAAATCACGGCTGCGGCGGCTGCATTTCGATGGAGGCGGAAATGTTGTAGGCCCGTGTGCTCAGATTTGGGTGCACGTTAAAGAACCCCAGGTGGTCGAGAGTACCGGAGCCCTCCACTACGGCGTCTCTCATAATCATATGATGGTTTCGGGCCGATAAACCCCACATATCAATCAATCAATCAATCAATCAATCAATCAATCAATCAATCAATCAATCAATCAAGCAATCAAGCAATCAATCAATCAATCAATCAATCAATCAATCAATCAATCAATCAATCAGTTGAAACCCCGACTGCCGGGTCAGCAGCCGAACGCCCTAATCATTGTACCACGAAGGCAAACTACGGAGAAAGTGTACGACGCCTTTAAGACCACTCACTATTTTATCCAAGTCGAGATAGTTGAGCATCCCCGCGACGTAGAAAGGCCAGTTTTCAGGGAAGGCACGCTTGCGCAATTCGCCGAAGGTGGCCCAGAGGGGACCGTATCCTGAAACTGGCATCAAGTGGTGGAAGCACGACGTCACAATCACAAGTGGGAACAACCTGCGTGGAGATTATTGGTTGACAAGTTGAGAGTGCTTATACTGCCAAGGGTTAGGGGCTGATGAGTGCGGCGAGTTGGGTGGGTTGGTAAAGTTGCATGACTTCGATATCCTAGCGCGAAAAAACCGAGACAAAAGAAAGAGACGCAGACAACATGAGCGCTAACTTCAAACCACGTTCATTTGGAAACGCAAATGAATATACATGAACTCAAATCGCAGACATCTCACGCCTTCCTCTCTTACAGATATAGTACTTTATATAGATATAGTCTTTACTTCCTGATTATCCGTTTCTTGTTTTTGTATCATATGAGATATTACCTCCAATATCATACAGTATTTCCAAGTATTTCTCTGTTGGTCTCGTGGTGCTTTATTTGACGTTGTATATCAAAGCTAAGAGCACCGACATGCTGACTCAAGCTATGTTGTCCTTCCAGAGAGGTCATGACCCACGAGCTTTTTTTTCAGGTCCGAACAGCGTCTGCCAGCGGAGATCGCTCAAATCCTGAGGATCACTGTCCTCCGAAACTGTCAGTAGAAAATATCGAGGGCCAGGTATTTTTCGCGATAATTTCCAAATGTCGCCACCTGCAGTGACCGCTAAGAGACATGACGCGCGTGCCGTTCCCGCCGCTGCGCATGCGCAGGCTATAGCCTCCTCAAATAGGCTCAGTTCATTCACCCGCTAGTCCAGAACGCGCACTATTATCACGGCAAGCAGTGCTGCCGCTGTGTGTGGCATGCCCGCTTTATACCAACCATGTGCGGCACAGCGTCAACTGATACCAGCCTCGCTGTTAATAGAAAAGGATGACGTGATTTTATTGACCAGTTCGCCGAAAAGCAGGTTCTACTGCGCTACATTTTCCGAGTATAGTATGTATACGTGGTGTCATTATGGCATTGCGCTTGATCTTATACTGAAAAATAGTTGAGTTTTTCGAGTGTCATTTTTTTTTTGAACGCCGGTGTGTTGACTCCACGTCAGAAGTCAACGCCACTGCTGTTCCTACAAAAAAAAAATGATGGCTTACCTGAGGTACCTGTGAAGCACCATAGATAGCCAACTCGTTTTGCCGTTCTCTTCAGGTGATCGCTTTGAAACAGTCATCCAAAGCATGAAGCCACTGTAAGTATAAAAAAAACGCATCCCTGGTAAAGCTTGCTGTGGTTAAGGTTGCCCTTGGAAACAAGCCATGTGCATGTATACGTTGTCTTGTTTATCACATTGTTTACGCCGATAGATAGACATATCAATAGTCATTTAGACTAATTAGCTGGTATTGCGTAACCAAGTATTTCTCTTGTTTTTGTCAATACTACCACTCCCTTTTGTAATGCCCTCGGGTTTCATATAGGTTGTAAATAAATAAATAAAATAAATAAGTAATAAATAACTCTTGACATTGGACGTCGGATAAACCGCTCACGAATTAAGAAGGCAGGACAAAACATGCGCTGTAATGGAGACAGAAGAGTGAATGCTAGATGCGTGTCACTGCCAATGAACGATTACAATGTTCGTTCCAGCCTCCGCTCTAAAGCTTGATTTGTAAGGACTAAGTAACATAATAACCAGCGATGAAAACAAGGCAGACAACAGTTGAATAAGGGAAATCCAGTTTAATAATGCGAATATAGGAAAAACTGCCACATACTTGTCACTTGTGGGGCGTGATTAGCTTCGATCAGTTCATTTCGATTTTCACGGTAACATTCGCGGTTTTGCTATTTCAAATATATATCACGAGCGCACCAACTGATTTCGGAGTCTGAACGCAGCCTTTGCACTTCTATTAGAGCAATCAGTGATTATTCTCACTCTATAGGGACAGCTCTACATTATCAACGCAGCTTGACGTTGGATGTCGGCGCCTCTTCGGCTTGTGGCAGAGTAGCGCCTGTGCGATGCGTGATAAAAAACCGTTTTTGGTGTACTTTAACAACGCACACAAGTGAAACATGAGGAATTAGGATCATTTGTATTTAAATTATGCATGCGCGTTAGACTTTACGTAGTACTAGCGTGTATACGTCTTCATTTTATACGCCACGGTCATCCAGCTGCACAAAGAGTCCTCGGGGTTATTAATAAAATTTGCTATCGGCTGTGTATCTGTAAGAGGTGCGGAGCCTCTATACCCGGTCAGACAACATAGCATCATGAGGTCTAAGTGATTAGAAAACCACAACCCACCTGACAGTGGTGAAGATTGCAACGCTCATAGTAGCATTCACAATGAATTGCCGTCCCAGTGTTCTGGACATTTCATACATTTCGTCGCTATTGTCTGCGAGCATCAACAGAAAAACACATTCAGGTAAATGGTTGCAGAGAACCTGTCCTCTTTATCTCGAACGACTATCTCCTATCATTACTAATAGTTAAAAGTAACAACATACATGACGAACTTTCTTTCCCATGCATGCGTTGGGTGAATGGGTGAGTGGAGGTGAGTGGAACGTAGCAGGCAGGCGTTCTAATTGTTAATAATAATGATTGGTGAATTACATCCGAAAAGCATGACGTCATTACGAAGGATGTCAAAGAGGAGATCTTTGGATATTTCGACCACCTGGTGGTGGTGTTTTGTTTTTGTTGTTTTCGAAATCCTTGTGACACTCTTTCAAGTAACAATAGAATTTCATCATTAGAAAAATTGATTGACTCACAAATGTACTCCTACAAGGATTTTGAGGATTCGTCAAATACTAGTAGAGTTGCCGAGATTTGTCGTACGCTTCAAGCGCTTCAGCTCTGTCCTTTCGTATACCAGAGAGCGCGCAGAAAGCTTCGAATGAAGTGGGGGGGAATGACAACGAGGTAAGATGAGGCATCCAGAATAGGCGCGCACCGTGACCTTAAGCACATCTCTTTTTTTCTTTCTTCTCTAGCGTGCAGCTTAATTTCAGTGTGATCGTGAGCGCGTGCAAGGGCGTGTGGCGACACCCCGTGGCAGCCATGATAGCTTTTCAAGCTACGTCGTTCAAATAAGCGAATCACGTTGACCTTGGGTTAATGGCGTGGTCATTTAGTTTTATGGCATCGTTTGTTCGAAGAACAGTGATTGAGAAGTTGCTCACTTTGAGGATTATTTGTAATTTCTAAGCCGTGTGCAGCTAGCGTATTCACATGCGCCTCAATTGTCAACCTGCTGCGTTTTTTTTTATCATGCTTAAAAGGGCTAGCACAGCCTCTGCGACGTGCTTTGAGATCACATGGTAGACGGTCGCCTAACATTTTGCCTCAATTGAAATGCGGCCGCCGGGGTAGGGATAGGCAGGACGTAGTTTTATCTGGCATATACAATGACAGCTACAGAAATACGCCTCAGCTACTGCGTAGAAGGTTTAGAGCGAATTTCACGCTCCTGAAGCTTATCATCACATCTTTTAGAGCTCAGCTCTTAGACGCCGCTTCTTGCGTTAGGCGGCGTTGCCGTCGCCGTCGGTGACGTGACACGAGCGATGGAGTGCGTGCGACAGGAACTGGGCGAGCCCCATTACCCTGTGCAGACAGGTGCAAGTGCCAAACGAAAACAAAAGATATGTGCCACATGCGTTGATTAAAGAAAGGAGAATACGTGCGTTGGTCTGCACTTAAGCGCGAGAACAACTCGCATCATCGTGAGAAAACATCCCGTATCTATCTCTATCGTAACTTATCCCACTGATGAGACGACCTCACAAAACACTCACGTCAACCTCGTCTTTGAGAACCAGGCATTGAAGCTGCAACTCGAATATATCACCACTCATTTCTCTGCCCAAGAAGTTTCCATCGTTGCAATAAAATACAGGCAGACACGTGTTTTCAAGAAGGAGAGAGAGAGAGAGAGTTGTGGGGAATGAAATATAGTGGTATGCAGCTGTACACACCTACATGACTCTCTCTAGAATGGTTTGTTCCAACTTGTCGCAAAATCAAAACACCTAAATAGTTGCGCCGAGAATTCGTGTTAGGCGGTGTCGTAAGCGTTGTGGATTTATTTATTTATTTATTTTGTTTATTTATTTATTTATTTATTTATTTATTTATTTATTTATTTATTTATTTATTTATTGCTAGGTTGATGGGCACTGCACGTCCTGCAAAAAAAAAAGTGTGCGTTAAAACTCACCAATGAGTGCATCGTCCATGAAGATGTACGAGTGAATGGCGATCACCCACACCAGGCCGACGACGCGTAGACCGTTGAAGACGTCGAGCTTTGCCCCTTTGCCGCTGCCGCTGGCATCGACGCAGAACGTCTCGCGCGTGGTCCGAAGCAAGGACAGTGTCTGGAGTCGCGCCAAGAACGAGCCTGCCGCCACAACATCGTGTTGTGTGTTTGTTTCGTGGGCAAGAAGAAAGAAAGGGCCGAGAAGCGAGTCGGTATACAGCGCGGAAGTCTTTTGCAACCGTCCCGCTTGATGAATGTACGGGCGACACTGCTCCATAGCTACAGCACAATGTCTCCATTTGCTCGGACATATACTTTGCGTAACGCAGTGACGTAAGCGTAACACTGCAGAGCTCACGCGAGTTTCGTTGCAGAACAAAAATAAGCGAATGACTTCACAACTAGGCACGTTAGGTAGCAAACATAAATAACAAAAAAAGCTAACTCCAAAGCCCGGCTTATGATGTGTCGTAATAAAAAAATCAGATGCTTGATAAGAAAAACAAATACTAATATTATGGAACATTCAAAATGAACAAAATTAAAAGACATTGCACTCCACGCTCTAAGGATTGAAAACAGTAAACGCTAGGCAGTAGCTCAAAGACCTTTACAGGACGATCTTTTCGATTCGGTTTCCTTTTCGTGGTCGTCTTATCGAAGAGCGTTTTTCGTTTTTTTTTTTGTGCTGGTGTTTCGTGTGTGCGAAAGACGTCGGGGATTGCCCTTACCGAAGTCTGCGTCTGCCGCCGCTTGGTCAGCCAGGGCAAGCTTCTGTCGGTGGAGAACATCGAGAGCAGTCGCCAGCACCACCGCAGTTACGAATGCCGCCAGAGTTAAACTGTTGGGAACAGTAAGATGAAGATACTCCGTAAACCTTGTGCGTTTAACAACAAAGAACACGAATTCGCGTTGTACTATTGGCGTGTTTATACTTGGCGTAGCGAAAGAGAAGTCACGCCAACCGACCCTTGTAATTCCTTTGCTGTGCCCACAGCGCTAAATAATTTTTTTTTGTATTTAACATCAAGGATTTCTGGCTTTTAGTTTATTTTCGCACAGTACTGCACTCTTTTATATATTAGCAAATTTCCTGACACATTTCGCAACTCATCGCGCGTTCTACCGCATAAAAGCTGCCGTGTTTCTTTTTTTATTTGTTTGTTTGTTTCGCCTGAAGTTGCAGCAGATCTTCGCATGTTGCGAAAGGCTGCGACAGTGAAAAGGAGGGAATCCACATGAGAAATACACGGAGATTAACAAGGCCGAGCACGCTGGACCATTATGCATTGCTGAAGAGCTAAGGCAACAATCTGCCCTTCGGAGAGCAGTCTGAAGTTCCCGATCTCCTCCTACTTGGCAGCAAGAAAGGTAAAATACTAATAATAAATTCTATATAAAGAAAAATTGAGAAGGCTAGAAAAGGAAAATACTGGCAGATCAACCAGGCGTGTGTACTGTTTTCTAACATATACGTAAAAAAAAAACAGTTCAGAGAAATCGACGGAGAGGAGAACTTCATCCTGGAGTTCCTTTCGGCTTTGCGTTCAGTAACTAAGAGCCTTGCGATGAATGCAAAATGGTACATGCTCGTGTGCTTAGGTCCAGGCGCACGTTAAAGAACCCCAGATAGTCCAAATTTCCGCAGGCGTCTCGCAGTATTACATAGAGGTATCAGGACGTAAAACCACAAGAATTATTTTTTTTTAATCCAGTAAGGGGAATGAAGTTGGTGTAATATCACAAACATGACTGCTGTAGTTATGCGAATAGCGCGATTGTTGTTCGATAATAATAATAATAATAATAATAATAATAATAATAATAATAATAATAATAATAATAATAATAATAATAATAATAATAATAATAATAATAATAATAATATTGCTATTATTATTATATTACATACAGGTAGTAGGAAGAAGGAAAGAAGAAGGTAATAGGAAGATTATTATATTATTATTATTATTATTATTATTATTATTATTATTATTATTATTATTATTATTATTATTATTATTATTATTATTATTATTATTATTATTATTATTATTATTATTATTATTATTATTATTATTATTATTATTATTATTACATAAAGACATAGGGAAGCAGCAGAGATAGTGACATGAATGCTTGACTGAGCCTAAATACCCTAAATACAAGACGACAAAGACAGTCTGTTTAAGCGTAGATTATCAAACACATACGGCTTCATCTGTCTAGAAAAAAAAGAAGCCAACAAAACGTCACACTCAGTCAAGCCTATTCCTCTATTTGAAGTGTTTCAGCCAAAAATAAAATACAATGCGATTTATGCAAAGCTTTATAGAAGACGATGCAATTCGATTCAAAGATAAGGCGTTTATTGCCGCAGTTCGATAGTATTCGCACGACTTCAAAATTTCTTTCTCGGCAACATGGCAAAATAAGGCGCAGATCAGGAATTTTTCTTGTGTTTCAAGCAGAAGACGATGCTGTGATGATGTGTGCATATACTTGATGCGCGGGTGAGCTGCTTATTGTGGTAATCAATGAACAGGGCAAAATAAAGAAAAAGAAAGGAAACAGGGATGCAGAGAAGCAACGAAACAACGAATACGATCGTTGTGCGACTATATACTGCCGCGACAATTGTTGCCTCGCATCAAAGTATGAGTTCCTTCAGTGGTCTATCGCCTGTCCAATGAATGTGGTGAGAGCCGCTGCATAAAGAGCTGCACTCCTTTTGTTCTTTATCGTGTTTTTGCCAGAGCGAATTTGTTTTTTTTGTTCTTTATCTACATCTTAACCCGAACCAGCGAATGTCGTAACCCGAACCAGCGAATGTCGTCTCGAGTGTGTTTGTCCCAGAGGACGCGTCCGGTGCGATTGAGGCCTCGTTGTTTTTCCCTTCCAGAGGTAATAAAAGAGATGATGGAGCAGGCGGCACGCGATGAATGCTTTTCATTTGCATAGCGAATGAGCGTCGAGACGGGTCACTTACATGACAAATACAGACGGCTCGTCCGGTGGAACGTTGTGGTCGCAGGCGGAAACGAAGGTGGACAGCTCCCACTCCGAAAGCGCTGAGAAAATTAAATAAATAAATAAATAGCAGATAGATAAATAGATAGATAGATAGATAGATAGATAGATAGATAGATAGATAGATAGATAGATAGATAGATAGATAGATAGATAGATAGATAGATAGATAGATAGATAGATAGATAGATAGATAGATAGATAGATAGATAGATAGATAGATAGATAGATAGATAGATAGATAGATAGATAGATAGATAGATAGATAGATAGATAGATAGATAGATAGATAGATAGATTAAAGAAGCACATATAAAAATTGTGCCCTTTGCACCGATGAAACACGAGCTCTCATTTGATTAATATAAACAAGGCGGCCTTGCCGGGCTGGTGCATATACATTATTACACCCAAAGCTGTGAATAAAGCACTTTGTAATGACTCACTCTAATATATTCCACATAAAAGCATGGTTCACACTTTCGATATAGTTTGCTCAATACTACTCACTCTGGCCAAGTTCATTCTGAGTGCAGAATGCTTTGAAAGAATTATTGAGTTTTTCACGGACAGCAGACCTTATAGAAGGTTGTATTCCCCTTTCTCTCACTTTTTTCTTTTCATTTTCTTCTTTTTATTGTAACATATCTTTTCGACCATTTTACATCCCCATTCCTTCTCCTGCAGCGCATGATAGCCCCTCGGTTTAAAAATTGGCTGGTCTTTTCTCTTCTCCCTTTCTCCCGTACTTGCTTCTTTCCTGTTTTTTTTTTTTCATTCCTTACTAGGCCCATAGTCATCACGGATAATTCTGTGCTCAGATTTGGGTGCACGTTAAAGAACCCCAGGTGGTCGAAATTTCCGGAGCCCTCCACTACGGCGTCTCTCATAATCATATGGTGGTTTTGGGACGTTAAACCCCACAAATCAATCAATCAATCAATCAATCAATCACGGATAATTCACAAGGCAATGAAAGTCAACATTTTTATTTTTTTTAAATCTGAATGCTTGCTTGACGAGTAACTAACAAATTACTAACGAAGTAAACCCACATAGAGAATGTTGGTGTAATACGTCACCTTCGTTTAGAATAATTTTGATGTCGTCTTCGCTGCACGACGATGGGATGCAGGCGCCCACTTTCACCGCCGACTGCAGGAAGGCGAACGTCTTGGCGTTGCTTCGCTGCAATGCAAGTGAAATGCGTTTTTGTTACAGCGCAGGCAGACGCATACGAATACAGTGTAATGATGACAGTCTTTCTTGGGATACCTTTAACTCAATATTTTAACTCAATTGCCTCGGTCAGTAACGCAATGCACGTGGTGTTCCTTAATGTTGAACAATCTGCAAGATAACGGCGCCGGTTAATTCACTGCAAACCTATGATCTTTTTAGTAAAACTGTTATCGATATGTTGATGACATTTGCCGAAATTTTATTGTTTTTAGATTTTTTACTACCCGTTCTGATACTGTACTTGCAGTTTAGAACAACCGGATGATTTTTCCAACAAAAATAAATTGATACGAATGCCTGTGCATTGTTAGCGCGTGTTTCCTGTGTTTACATGAACGTCCCCTTTTTAATTTGATACGTGGGGTTTAACGTCCCAAAACCACCATACGATTATGAGAGACGCCGTAGTGGAGTGCTCCGGACCTTTCGACCACCTGGGTTTCTTTAACGTGCACCCAAATCTGAGCACACGGGCCTACAATATTTCCACATCCATTCGGAAATGCAGCCGCCGCAGCCGGGATTCGATCCTGCTACCTGCGGGTCAGCAGCTGAGTACCTTAGCCACTAGACCACCGCGGCGGTGCTCCCGTTTGTAATTTACCTTTTGTTGTATACTAATGCAACCTTACTGCTCTCTAAGGGTTTAGTAGTAGACCCTTCTTTCTTATTTCCTTCTTCTCTAATTGTATTTGTAATAGGACATAGGACTACTCTTGCTTGACAGTTTGGTGCCAGAGATACTACAGCATTACTGCCATTGCATAGTCATATGGTCGGGGAAAAACAACGCAACTATTTTTATATCAATACGAATCCAAATATTGACGTAGTAAACTATAGTCGCAGCTGCTATTACCTCTTTCGCGATGATATCTGGAAAATTGGGCAGTGGTTCCGAGTTGTAGACGTATAAGGCGCAAAACTTTCTTGCAATCACATTTCCCTTCTCGTCGAGGATTTCTGCGGCGAAACACTCTTTGTGCGAACCCATGTCCGATAAGGCACCGTGGAGAATTCCTGTTGGCATGGATCCTTGCGAGTCCAACACTGACAGGTGAAAACACGGGGTAAAAAGAACACGACAGTTTATTATGGTACTTTGCGGCGCTCGGCAGGAGCCACTGTTACGTACAAGATGTGGTACATGCAAAATGCTTCAGCACTGCATCACAAACTAATTAATGCATCACCGCACAGAATGACTGGAATGCTGCTGGGTGACAAGAGAGAGGCCCCCAGATGTAATTGCTGCATATTTTCACCTCCTTGAACCTGGTATGGTTCCAAAGAAAACGAGTGACAGCGCGAACGCGATTGTACACAAAGAGAAATAATGTTATTCCCGTTGTTTGGGCTGTGACTCGGTTTCTTCGGGCATGTTCCGAACCGCCCAACTAAGCACTGAACTTCTGGTTTCGGTATGCTGACATGCACCACTGCTCGAAGCAATCAATCGCACGCTCTCCCCTTGGCAAAAGCGGTCACCTCTATTCAGTTCTTACCAGTTTGACCGTTCATGCTAGCCTGCAGATCATGAAGACAGCTAAGAAAGCTGTGCTCCTGTACTAAGGAGAATAACATAGAATAGCAAAGAATCTCCCGTCTCTCAGTTGACCTTCTTTATTGAGTTTTCTCTTCCCCTCCCTTCATGTCATTGGGCCTCACCTTCACTGGTCCTGCTCGAACATCAAAAGCTGTTTGCCTCTTCATTTTATCAGTTTTAAGGGAGAAATAGCTTGACTTGGAAATTTAGTTCACTGTCATGGGGAGGAGCTCCAATATCTTGAGAAATATGCTGTTCGCGGATGTCAAGAATAGAGTAATGTTGTAGCACGGCACGGTGGGACTTTATTTTCCTCTTTGGTGCGGTGCATACCGGCTTTTCGTTTGTACATCAGGTAAATAATTAACGAGGGGGCAATTGCACAAAGGTTTCGTACTAAACATTGTACAGCACTGGGAAAGTAAGGCTGACGCTATGACCCACGCACTACTCATATGCATGCGGCCTTCTCCCACCCACATGTGTTGCGTCATTACTAAATGCCACGCCCGAAATAAAGGGCCGAGCCTTAACGACAACTCGAACCGGACGGGGGTGACGCGTGGGCAGCGTTCGCAGAAAAGAATAACCAGAGGGACGGGAAAATGGAAGAAACATTTATGTGCCCGTATTGAAAGCTTATACGACGAAGCAAGGAGGATCTCGGCGAAGGCGCACGTCCTTTCACGCGTGCCTTCGATCAGCATATAAGCCGCTTAGCGAGGAATTACGTTCCGTACTTTGGTTAGCACTCGCTGCAGCCGCCGTCCAGTCACCTAATCCCGAGTGCACCGCTCTTACACCGCGCTCTTGTCTCGTTTAGGCGCTCGTGCTGAAGAAAGCTGCGTAAGCCCGTAAAGAAGCACGACAGTCGCGAACGACAATTCGTGTCGTGAGAGGACTTATGCGATGTGAAGTGCAAACGGAGTTATATGCACCGCTTGGAGAACCGCGTGCTTTGGTCCGCCACGGTGGAGAAGTGCTTATGCGCTCGGCCGCTGTCCCGAAGGTTACGGGTTCGATCCCTTTAGCGGCGTTCACGTTTCGTTGAAATGATAGAGGTCTGTGTAGTGTGTAATATCAGTTCACGTTAAAGGACACCAGATGACAGATAATTTCCGGAGCACTTCTGTACGGCACTTTTCATAATCATATGGAGGTTTCGGAACGTGAAAGCCCGGATAATATTGATAGACACGTATGCTTTTACGCGTAATGTGCTATCGTGAGGACTCATGGGCAAACGTGGCTGAATTGCAGGCGAGAAACGCGGCATGCGTTAAGTGTCGTTGAGCTTTTGCTAATGGAAGATACTAATACTCGGTGTTTGAAGATATCGCGACTGGTGTAAGCGGGGCTAATTTGTTTTTTCTCGCTCGAGATTTATACGATATGGCAAGGCATGTTATATAGCCTAAAAAGACGGCCGTGTAAACAAGGACACAATTGAAAAGTCACCACACCACAAGCGCCCACTAGCAACTGAAGAGACGCACAGCGGCGAAAAAGGACGCGTGAACCTATCTGCGCATGCCCACACAATAAGCTAACCTGTACTTCCGGCACATATGCGGGACAGATAATTGCTAATGCGTCTTAATTCAGGATTCTGCAAGTTAATCGACACTTGGCTCACGAAAGCGCGCCCACTATTATCCGTATCACATGCGACATTTATCCGACGTGGAACATGGACTTCAGAACAGGCATTGATGCAGGTGGCGAGACATATATCTGCCAGCTTTGCTCAGCGTTACTGCGTGGCCGTTGGTACCATATTATGGTGCAGTTTCATTAGGGATGTGATGTGATGTAAAATATGTTGTAATATGGTTGTTAGTTTTGGCCGTAGCTGCCACTATATATCTTAAACAGTAGTTCTCAGCCATGAATATTTGAGGGAGTTAATCGACACTTGGCTCGCGAAAGCGCGCCCACTATTATCCGTATCACATGCCACATTTATCCGACGTGGAACATGGACTTCAGAACAGGCATTGATGCAGGTGGCGAGACATATGTCTGCCGGCTTTGCTCAGCGTCACTGCGTGACCGTTGGTACCATATTATGGTGCAGTTTCATTAGGGATGTGATGTGATGTAAAATATGTTGTAATATGGTTGCTATATCTTTGGCCGTAGCTGCCACTATATATTGTAACGAAGTTGAAGGACTCGGGGTGTAATAAAACGTATTTATTAAAGGGCGAACCTGTGCCCACAACTCAAAGGGACTATGGTCGTAGCACGTTACAGCAGAACACCAAAAATGTCTTCTTCTTCTGCTTCTTCAAGAAGAGTCCCAAGCGTGTGGCGCGCATCAGCAGGGGCCGGCTGGATTCTCGTGCTATCACCATCGTCTCTGCGCAACACTAGACGGCGCGCATGTATGTCCCTGTGCGCGTGGTGATGGGCGCGTTGTTTGAATGCAGGCACTATGTCGCGGCATAATACCCCTCCTCATACGCATCGTCCCGATGCGTCAGGCAATGAATAGATTCGTGGTAGGCGTCACTGGTCTTCCGGTGATCTTTCATAGTAAGGCTTCATCCGGACCACATGTACAACCTCTGTAGGGTTGCGGCGTTTTGAGCTCCCGTGTATAGCGGATCTGACTTGGTAAGTTACATCGCTTACACGATGGAGTACTTCGTAAGGCCCGAAGTAGCGGCTAAAAAGTTTTTTAGAAAGTCCACGGCGACGCAATGGAGTCCATATCCATACTTTGTCACCTGGTTGAAAATGCGCTTCGGTACGATATCTTAAACAGTAGTTCTCAGCCTTGGATAATTGAGGGAGCCCTCGTAGACCCGTGGAAGGGATGAAGAGCCCCTTGCAGTCAGAGGAAAAGGAAGGGGGTCGTAACTGAACGCAACATGCGGCGCGACACAGGTGTCCTTTTTTCACCGTCACAAAGAAAGCTCCAACTTAAAAGGACCCTGAAACTGTTTTGACCATTCTTTACCAACACATTGGGTCGATAGTCCAAGTTTCAAAAGTAACTTAGAGACCGATTTGAGTTCTCTTCGTAAATTGTACAGTTTATTACAACGCTTTAAATCTGCGAATCGCTCCAGAGCGCTCTAGATTGCTGCGATTGGGCCAAACGCGTTTTCACCCGCCAATACACCAAGCGACACGCTCTGCCCCACTGACGTCATCGTTTCCACCTGATCTTATTGGCCGTGGAACGCGCAGCACAGACTGCCGGTATCGAATTGGCGGTGTGATTTACGCGTATGTGTTCTCACGCCACATCGTGACGCAGGCGCCGTGAAGGCGGAGCTTAGCCCCGAGCGCTCGAAGGAAGAGTTGAGGGCAGTTGAGGGTGAAAGGCGGAGCGGAGGAGGAGGGTATTTTTTAGTACACGTAGCTCCGTTAATAATGGGTGTTTCAGTGGAACTCTAGTGCCAATGATTTGCTCCAGTAGTGGTCTAATAAAAAAAATTAATGTGAAAAAATTGCGTCAGGGACCCTTTAAGTGTCATGCCTATTTTATTTCACAGCTTGTCAATAAGTTGTGCTGTCTACAACCACATCCAGCCTGTTAATAAATATGCTTATTTTTCTATTATGCAAGCCTAAAAAAGTGTTTGCTCGCAAGTATATGTCGTAGAAAATTTAAATACAAGCTTTACAGCCACCTCATGAAAAATGGGAAACATAACTCCGCTTCGCCGCAGTACAATATTGTCATGTGGTGAAGAAAACTCATAAGGTGGTGCTGTCACTGTTCACAGTGTGCCTACGAGAAACTCGTTTTTTTTTTTGTTGCCAATTATATGGGTAGTCCGGCTGATTTTGGCCGTCGTCTTTGCGCCGCAGCCACCGTCATTCACCCATATATATATATATATATATATATATATATATATATATATATATATATATATATATATATATATATATATATATATATATATATATATATATATATATATATATATATATATATATATACGGGCAAGGATGCGCTATAGCCTCCTTTTTCTACGGAGTGAGCATCGCCATCGCGTCTCCGGCCGGGGTCGTCAGCACGCGCGCTTATCCCGTGACTGAACAAGGGAAGGCATATGGTTACCACGCTATTAAGAAAACGATAAGCGCGCGACTTGTGCCCCCACAGCGGGCGGGAGCTTCTACGGGCTGCACTCTCAACACAAAAAAAAAACGGTACCAACAGTGTACCTGGAGCGGCCGTGCTCTCTTACACCAGCGTTCTGTGAAGTTATGTGAGATCGGATCTAAATGAGTTGACTTCCAGCCTCCGTTCGTATGATATTGCAATTTGCCCGCCGTGAGGATGTCTCAGTGCGAGAGTACGAGGATGAGGCGAGGCGACAGCGATCACAAGACCCTGCATTTCGACAGCACGAAGTGGACGAACGTCCAACCCACATGCTTACTACAACAAATATTGCTGCTTAAAATGCTAGCCTTGCTTCGTTAGACATTCGAATACGTTGCTATCGCAATCATTGCTTCGGCCTTTTTAACGAAACTGTGACTTTTTTTACTTTTTTGTTGTTTCTGTTTTGTGGATTTATTTGTAGACTCCAAAAATGAATTCGGAGGTTCCGTCGCAGAACCACTATTCCAAAGCATTCATAGCGCCTGTTATGGCATTGGTGGTCTTTTGAGAAGATTGGATGTAACCCGGAAACATCGTTCATTTTGCGTGACGCACCAGGAACGCTTAGGGCGTCACTATAAATGTCTGCGGACGCAAACAATCAACACCTAATATTTTAAATGCTATTAGTGGGGCCACTGTCACGTGATCGTATATTATCATCATCAGCCTGACTACGCCGACTGCAGGACAAGGACCCCTCCTATGTTCCACCGGTGAACTCGGTCTTGTGTTTGCTGCCGCCCCTTTGTATCTGCAAACTTCCTATTCGCATCTGCCCACCAAGCTTTTAGTCTCCCCTTCCCCCGCTTGCTTTTTCTTGGAAGACAGTCTGTCATCCTCAATGACCAGCGGTTATCGTTTTTGCGCTATGGACCCGGCCTGGTGTGCAGTCACTGCTTGTAGTGTCGACTGCGCACCTGTGTAGTAGTTTTCTTCTCTAGTCATTTCTCTAGTCATAGTACGGTGCGACTGCGTACCCTACTATTTCCAATCATAACCATTACCAACTAGCTTAAAAGGCCGCTTTACTACACCAAACACTGTGCTGCAGCATGAGCGTCGAGGAGGGTGTAAAAGGGGCACTGTGCCTCACCTCCTCTCAAAGGACATCAGAACTTGCCCATCGGAACAACGCCAGCACTTCCCTCAGCGCGATGCAGCACAGGTTTTAACACCCCAAAACAAGATCCTGCCAATGGTTATGTGCTGTAGTACCGTTATAGCTGCGCGTACACTGTACTCATCTCTCCACTGTATCGCGTTCAACCGGGCGTTGTGGCCCTTTTAATGAAAATTTTTCTGGTTTTATTTATGCCTGATATGGTGTATATCAACTTTGCAGGATGAACTGCAAGTAAACGCGACTGTTGGTTCAGCCGGGCCCACTTGTTCTAAGGAAAGACGACTCGTAACTGTTAGCTTTAATGGCGAAATGTCGTAGCCAGTGCTTCAATGAGCAGTTATTATGAGCTCGGTGATACCCGACGCAACTATTACTTGCTTTCCTTGATGATTGCAGCTTTGTCAACCGATACTTCTTGGGGATAAATGCTTTGTCAGCCGGGGCACCATTGATCTCGATTAAGAATGACATTTGTCAACCGTGATTGGCTCCGTTCTGCTAACTTGAGGGAACGAGCCAGTCTCGGCCGTGAAATTCAATCCGGATTAGTCCCGATCGTGATCATAGGCAATTGCTTGACACCGGTACAAGGTTTTAAGAAGCATCACGGGCGATTGATTTATTGATTGATTGATATGTGGAGTTTAACGTCCCAAAACCACCATATGATTATTAGAGACGCCGTGTAGTGGAGGGCTCCAGAAATTTCGACCGCCTGGGGTTCTTTAACGTGCGCCCAAATCTGAGCACACGGGCCTACAACATTTGCGCCTCCATCGGGAATGGAGCCACCGCAGCCGGGATTCGATCCCGCGACCTGGGGGTCAGCAGCCGAGCACCTTAGCCTCTAGACCACCGCGGCGGGGTGCATCACGGGCGAGTTATAGACAAGAGGCTCGGACGTAACCAACCCACATCGCAAACGTAGACGCAGAACTGCAAAAAAAAAATAAATAAATAGCCGGCAGTAATAAGCATCTTTACTGTTACACACGCAATACATTTCCTCGGCGTATTACAATTCCTCGTGACGATATTCAGTGACAGATGTAGATATATTTTTATATTGTTGAAGAAGCTTACGAAACATATACGGTAACAACATAAATAAATAGAGAACTAGTACTGCCACTGCAGCCTAGCGAGCTATAAAGCACTCGCTGCCACGACGATTGTCGCAAAAACGAATTCCGTTGTTCACAGACTCACACGCACACACAAAAAGGCAATACAAGACTAGAGTTGGCTGTGGATGCATGAACGCTATGAGAGCAAATAGGATGTATTTCCTCGTATAGCTTGGCAGCTCTTCGTGATTCTTTGCAAGCGCTGTTCAAGCAAAGGGAAGAAAGCCAACAGCACAACTGCCGTGGGCGGAAAAATCTAATAGTTTTCGCGAGGCAGATATAATTTTAGCAGCCTGCCTTGTCGACGCCCCCGAACTCAAGTTGTCATGCTCTACTGTTCTAGCAAATACTGTTGTTTTTCATTCACTTCTGCCAACGTTTGTATAGCAAAAAGGCCTTGGGGCAAAGCTTTCAGTAAACAGACCATTGAAAAACACCTGCTATAGGTTCGACGACGTTGTGAGAAATCCCAGAATTTGTTTCTCGCTTGCCCATTCCATGCCTCTTTAAAAGCACGCCGAGTCTTTTGGAAAGAAAAAAAAAAACAGTCGGAAACAAGTCTGAGCACGAGTCTTTCAGCGTTTTTAGGTATGTTCGACAAAGCTCCTGCAGAGATGTGTCATAAACAGACCTCGTTCTTAAGGACCACAAGTTACGTGCGTAAATCGTGCTTTCAGAAGCTATAGAATGAAACGAAAAGCCCCCACACTACAAAGCGATCCGCCTTTTATCGGCAGGAACTGAGGCGAACTCGCCGTTGTGAAATCGGCGATTTCGCCTCAGTTCTGTCATCAACATCTCAGTTCTGTCGTCAACAAAGTTCCTTGCTGGACACACGAAAAAGAGACAAGTAAAGGAAGGTAATCGCCCAATATTCGAGCCTAGAAGCTCCTGTAAAAACAGAGCATAATGGGCACACCTGAAACTGAAGGTGGCTCTGGCGGGATTTATTTTACCTGTCGTATTCCTAAATGAGCAAACTTTCCAGCAAAAAGAGCCGGTAGGATACTGTTACCGACGTCACTTAAACGTCGCAATGAAGTTGTTCTCTCTTTTTTTTATTGAAACAAATTAAATATCTCGTTGAATAACTTTTTTGTGATACGGCTACTCCCGCATGTGTAATCAAGCTTTCTACATGATGGCTGATGACTTTTTTTACGTGCTTTGGTGTATAGAGTGCATTTGTTCGCTTTAACTCAATGACATTACTCGCATCGACAGCACTGTCGACTTTCTTCTGTATAAAGGAGTGAAAAATTAAGGAACCCTACTTAATTTGTCAATGATTCTTGCACCACTTCCTACTAATTATCCCTATTTCTAATTGAAATTGCACTAGCGTTGGCAGAAAGAAAGCGCAGCACATTAATTACACGTTTTGCTTTAAGAGATGCACATCGACGATGCGCTATACCAATCAAAAGAAACACAGCGTGACCTCCGGACCAGCCCAACCCGAACATGTCCCTTGCCTGTCGCTATGCTAGACGAATTTGTGCTTTTAGCCAGCGTCACTGCAGTGCTATAGAATCGCTATCGCATCTTGCGTGCTTATCTTCTGCAAGTTACGCCTGGCACTCGGAACACAAACACGATGTGATAACGCTGATTGGAGCCAGATTCAACCGCTACACGGTGGCGCAGGCTGGATCACAGATTCACCTTGCGACAGGGATGTCACGTTAAAGTTGGACTGGGACAACTGCCGTCCTTTCCACTGCTTGCGTTTCTCGTCATCGTGATAGTATACGTCTGGAAGGCCCTACGCAACTCCCGTGGTTCATCTATCTACTAATTAATAAAAATATATGGACCATATCTCCGAATTGAACCCTGATGAGATGCGAAGCAGCAGCGGCGCGCACGGCGTTGACCTGGTTGAAAACGGGCGTCGACGCGGGTGCTGAAAGGACGCTTTGAAGCGAAACTCGTTGTAGCATTTACTCGAGTAAACGTTTGTTTGAAACGCAAGGACACGGGAGGCGGGTTGGGCTTCGTGTAAGTTTCATTAAAGTGTTCGAGAGGACTTCGTAGTCGTCGTTTCATCAGAGTCGAGACACGGGCGCTGGACCGGAGCAGGTGCACGTTTCGCCTTGACTACCGTGTCGTTGTGATCGACGAGGTGCACGTTGATAGCTTCCTGCAGACAAGCGACGTCGAAGTGGCAGCTACGGGTGCTGCAGCGAGCGTGCTGCGGGTGAGGGAGAGAGTGTTGTCAGCACGCAACTGAGAGAGAATTGTGCGAGGAGAGCGTCACGTCAACGCGCAGCTGCGGCGTGACCTACTTGGCACCACTCCAACACCTGCTGCGATGGGAATGCGTTGCGGTGCGTTCGTACGGAAGCACGTACGTAATGCCTCACACATGTGAGTCAAAGAGCTGCTTCGCATCTAACAGTAATACTGTCTGTCGAGTTTCAGGAAGTCTGCAGGGAATCTTGGAATGCACGCGAAGTATCCTGTAAATTTTTCTACGCTTACATTGAAGACCAGCTAGTTGGCGGTGGACTATGGCATCGATGAACCTCCGCATATCAGCACGGCACTGGGCGTTCGCATCCTCCTTTTTACCAGCACTGGCATTGAGTCGATGCAGGATTGGATCCCACTGCTCAGCCTTCATCTTAATCAGTTTTAATCTGCGGGAGCTTATGACGCTGTCGACTGGAAAAGGAGACAGAGATTAATACGTTAGTAACAGGTAGAAACGTTTCGTCGAAGCAAACGGCATATTAATATTCAAAACGAATGAGATCTGCAACGGTCTTATGTTATGTAAAAGCAAAGCTTGTACAGTGATAGAATTTTGCCAACACGTAAGCTTCAGTTGTGTCTAAAGAAGGAGGAGGAGGAGGAGGAAGGGGAGAAATGAAAGGCAGAAAGGTCAACCAGACGCACGTCCGGTTTGCTACCCTGCACTGGGGGAAGGGGTGAGGGGATTTAAACGTGCAGAAAGCTCCAATAAGAACAGTGTGAAGCAATACACAAGCTTGTCAATATACCTGCTACCGTTTGTTGTTGCGAACATGATGAAGTACTAAGTCAAATAACTTGTGCAAACATGCAGAAAGAGCGTTAACGTTAGGCATTTTTTTTTCAGAATACATATTATGGAACAACCGTTATCGCACAAAAAAGGGCATCTCTGAACATATTGGGCGTGTTGCGGTTTTCACCCATTAACACTATGTTCAAATAGTGCACTACCTTGTTTTTGTTTAACGATGAGGGATTGATTTAAGCACCGTAAAGCGTCGGCTACCAATATTCGCTCTTTACTCTGGGTAGTATAGTCTATACAGTCCTCTTTACACTCCAATTTTTTTCACCGTGCACTCCTTCACGATAGTCATGATTACAAGGTATCCTTTAGTGTTGTCTAATCATCATTGTTTCAGCTTGTGTCCGCCTAGTTTCTATATGTTGTGACCAATTATGAATGCATTTTCAACGGTGCTGTTCTCACTTCACACAATCGAAACTTCTTGCAAACAGTCTTATATAATTGTCCTTATGGTTTTGTTTTGATTTTCTGTCATTTGATTGATCGATTGATACGTCGGGTTCAACGTCCCAAAACCACCATATGATTATGAGAGACGCCGTAGTGGAGGGCTCCGGAAATTTCGACCGCCTGGGGTTCTTTAGCGTGCACCCAAATCTGAGCACACGGGCCTACAGCATTTTTCCCCCATCGAAAACGCAGCCGCCGTAGCCGAAATTTGATCTCACGAGCTGCGATATTCTCTCACAACATAATGAAGGGTATTTCTTTCCATCTGTGCCACCATGTTTAGTTTACAAGACTTAAAACGATTGAAGAGTTTGTTGGGTAGATTTCTAATCAGAAAAGCTTCATACACAGACAGGGCAAACGGGCCTTGCTATGCCCATTGTACAAAAACAAAAACAAAAAACAACAGCTAATTTTGCGCTTTCTACGATTTCCTTTTTTTCGTACGATTCTCTTTTTGTACGACTGATTCCTCTGCCCCAGCGATTTCTCTCTTCTCCATTCGCTGGTATTTATACGTGCATGTATTAATACACTGTCCATAGTCCACCGAAAAGTATTTCAACGAATTTTATTTTGTTCGTTATAGATTGATCATTTTTCGCCCTACTCGCTTCATGATCACCAACATGCAAATGTTCTTCATTAATAATTGCTGGTTTGAATGCAGTATACATTCGCTCTGAGCCCAAATACAGTTTACTCTTGCGCTTCTTTGCATCAGCGATGAATTTATGATTGATATATCTTCGTTTAATGCTTTTTATTTAGCATTATATGGTAAAAAAACGCTGCAGGCCAGTTTGATGGTCTTGTGAACCTAAAATATTAAAAAAAACTTGAATTTATTACTGTACCACACAGGACGTTTGACTTTTAATTAGTATTTCCAGTTTTCACATTTCGTTTTACTTTCTCTGTCGGTTAATTGAATTTTCATGAAAAGAAACGCAAGGAAGACATTCTTTTCTTTCTGTATTTTTTCTCTTCTCCTTTTCACTTGAAACTTGGGGTCAGACTTTTGAAATTAGAAGACAAGATTGAGTAACGCGAACTCGTTTAATGAAAACTGATTGGCGGAACCTAATAATTGTTTTTTGAATCGGGTAATTGTTTTCTTACTGCTTTTACGTTCGTCCTATTTTTCTTTATTAGCTAACACATACGTGGTTGAGAAAGTGTTGTATTGAATTTTCCAAAGTACATCTGTGTTGTTCAACGCTGTTATTTTATAAAAAATAACTAAGGGTTGAATTACAACAAAATAAAAAAAGGAGCATAGCAATCTGACCCTAACTTTTTCGAAAGCACATTGTTGTATAAAAAGCGCAAAAGTAACGAAAGAGCGGCATGCAGAAGCGCTAATTATGGGCACTAAAACTTCCTGTCGAGGAGCCCTGTTTTATATCATACGCAGGCATTATTCAATTTGTGGGGCGTACTACGCATTAGTGTCATGCAATTCTCGGAACTTGTAAGGCGATCAGTGGATCCGCTGGATACCACTTGCTCTCAGTGCGCCAACAAACACAAGCATTTTTATGACGACCCAATAGAATAATTTAGTTATTGCTTACCATAAATCAATCGGCAATACTTCAATACAATTCGAATACATTCTGATAAAAAAGTCGGAATGATCTAAAAGGAGCCGAGTTCTTGTCTGACGCCAATAAATGCAATTATTTCGAACATTGGTAATTTTTTTTTCAGAATCAATATCAGTTTACAGATTACAGGATGTTCTTATGGTCTGGTGCAGGATGCTAATAGAGGATGCCATGCTATTAGGGATAGGAATAGAATAGATTAACAAGGCTGATAAGAGAGGCCTGGCGTATCAGCGGTGCATGATGCACATTTGCAAAAAGATAAGCTGAAGTGTAAATCTGCGTGAAGAGAGAGGGCGCACTGTACCAGTAATCACAAACATCCAACGCATGTGCGCCGCGTATTTTGATTGGTAATTTTGACGGTTTGGTAGGAGTCATCCTTGTTGGATAAGTCGGCGAAATGTTTTGTGCTAAATGAAAAATGCTAGGTTTTATGTGCAAAAGCCACACACCCAGACCCCTGTGTACCTGACTGCTTATGTAGTCATTGCACAAAAACCTTCTTCTTAGGAAATGGCGCAAATATTTAACTTATGAATTCGCTTTCCGTGAGATGTCTTTAAAATACTTTTATCAGCACGTTTCAGATAATAAACTAAGGCATTACGGGGGAATGAGATACATGTTCGTCTTTATCAGCAACCTATTGGGATGTGGTACTTATTAACCTTTTTTCTTAATATTATGAGTTTGTTGGCTTGTCGTTTTGTTTTTGTATTATCAAATTTTCGTGCTAATCTGCTCGCTATGATTTTCTTGCTTGTCCTAACTACTTTCTAGACCAACGCCTCGCAGGCAGACTGTTCATTAGCGAACGTTTTGAAATGTCCTTTAATGTGCACCGTTTTCACTCGAACCATTTATTTACAGAATCACCATCTGACTTTTCAGGATGAAATTTTCTCTGCCTCCGAATAATTTATTTAATTAAGCACTCTGTTTTCGTAGTTTTTGTGACTTCTACTTATACTCACGTAGAAATTTGAAAGAACGCTTTCTAGTTCGCGTCAGACAAGCGGTGGACGCTGTCGCATGTACTCGACGCTTTTGTTTATTGCGTTCTACATTTATTGTCTAGGTTTCGACCGTCTGTCCGACTGCTATACTCTGCGTTATGTTCCTCCCAGCCGAGTGTGGATTAACGTATCACTCGCATCACCCACAGCCTGCACGTCGCACATGACTGTTTTCCGACAAAGTTCCTCCTCATATTCGTACTCTGCCGTTTTTCCCGCAAGCACTTCGTCTATGTGGCACCGCGCACCCATCTTTCTCTGAGCTGCGAGTTCTTTCATAGTGCAGGAATACGGCTTGCGCATGAAACGCATGTAAGTGTTGGGATTTCATCGATAATTATATCTCTCGAACAGTGGTTGGGATGAGCTGTTGCGCGCTTACATCGACATGTGGTAATGACCACAAACTGAAATACAAAGGATCTACCACTCCTGGAAAGTGTTATCGCATTGGCTGATACCCTGGTTGTATTTTTTTTTTGACGCTATCCACTCGCTGAATTATAAACGTCAACTTGCTCGGTATAGACTGCGCATATATTAGTTTAAACGTTTTTAGTGCCTACATTCATGTTGTTTTTGAATAGCTGATTATATAGAAAACTGACCCGATACAAGCTTATGCTATGTTTTGAAAGTACCTCTAAGTACTTTCACATAAGCAAAGAAACTTTCAGGCTTACACTTTGTGTGCCTTTTGCCTAATAAAGACAGAAATATTCAGCCGAAACGCTGTTCGCGACAAAATGTTTTATATTGTACGTATAACAACACACAGTCCATTATATCCGTGCATTTCAAATGAAGTGTCAAATACTTATTGTTGTAAGCCTTAGGTCAATTCGTTGTGAATAGCAGTAATATGCTTTTATCCTTTAATTCTTGCTTTTATTTATCGCTAACATTTTGCTAAACACAAGCCCGTATATTTACCACAGAATTTTCTGCCAGTGTCGTCCTAGCTTCGCTGAAATTGCTTGCAATCATTTTTTTTTTTTGCGAGAGTACGTAGTTTTTTTTAAGCAAGCGTTTTGTAGTTCCTGCGAATCGTTCTGAAGATAAGCTATTGCATAACCTACGAGTTCTAACTGGTATCTGTAGATGCACACACGCTTGTTTAATATACTTGATATAACTCAATATTCTTTGGCATCGGCGACTCTTGTGTAGTTATGGGGTACAACACTGAACAGATAAATAATGTTTGATATACCGCCGGCCACCCCGTTTCCGTACACAGATTAGCAGGATGGCCTCTCTTTATATTATGAAGATACATGTATCGATATAGTGCACGCTACAAGAGCTTGTGTCTGTTGATGTTGATTTATGTAGACCTCACCAAATTGAAAGAATTATCTCCAAATAATAGAATTCGGCTGCTGACCCGCAGGTCGCGTGTTCGAATCCCGGCTGCGGCGGCTGCATTTGCGAGGGAGGCGGAAATGTTGTAGGCCCGTGTGCTCAGATTTGGGCGCACGTTAAAGAACCCCAGGTGTTCGAAATTTAAGGAGCCCCCCACTACGGCGTTTCTCATAATCATATTGTAACGGGTGCAAGAGAAGAAACGTCAAAAAACCAGTTTATTATGGGCGAACTTGTGCCCTGAAAGTTATGTGCGAAAAGATGGAAGGGTCCGCTAGAGCGTTCCCAAAACAAAAACTGTCTATTCGCCAACGCACCTTCTTCTTCTTCGCAGCTCCAACCCACACGTGCCCGTGAACAAGAGGCATGAGTCGTGCGGCCACAAGCAGGAGTGCGCACGAGACTGTGTACGCTGATTCTTCATAATGTCGGATAATGTAAACAGTCTCTGTGGCAATATGGTGGTTTTGGGACGTTAAACCCCACGTATCAATCCATCAATTCAAATAATAGACTGCCAAAGCCACAGCCGTATATGAAGTGCCGTGTGCGGTTTTTCTTCGACAATTTTACCTTGTTCTTTCACTACGGCGAAGAATGAACCATCCTATGAGGGGTACAAAAAGAATTGATAACGTCCTAGCTAAGGGCAGCGTAGAACCACAAAAGGCTTGCGCAAGTTTTTTTTTTTTTTGAAACTGGATGCTTAGTCTGTAGAATAACACTTAGGATCAGCGATCAACGTAGGTATTAATTAGAGTAGCAATGATGCTCAGACGTATATTGGCTACGCACTCTCCGCATGTATAATTTGCTGGTGCATGAATCTTCATCGTTAGAGTTATGTTCGAGCAGCAGTGGAAAGATGTGTGCTATGATATCAGCGAGATCAAACTTGAACCTTGGAAGGAAAACTTCGACTGGTGACAATGCACCCCGTCAATGACAGTCAGCTAGACATTACACGGTGACTTGCCTGTAGGACTAAAAATATTTCATCTCCTCTTTTAATTCTCTCTTAAATAAAAAAATAAAGCTTCCCTAGTTTCAATAAATTTGTTTCCTTCTGATACAATGTCATATTATTGAGTAAGGTTAGGTGTGTCTTATTGAAGAAAAGACAAGATGAATTTTTCGGCTGCTTCTTCTTTAACTGGACGCTATTAAGCACCCTCTTATTTTGGGATGTACAGTTTTTTTTTCTGGACACCAGAAAAATATTTGTACCGGCCATGGCTTCATTAATGCTTCACTGAGAACTAAAGTCAACGAATTGCGATGGTTGTGTGACTAACTGTTCGTGTATCAATGACAGCTTTAAGGCAGGCATACGGTGTCATGAAATTGTCTCTATATGCCCAATTTCTAAAGCAAGCTACTTTCCTCAGCCATTCTTTTTTGTTGGCTTTGAATGTACACTCAGGTTCCAACACATATGTGGGGCAGCTGTTGTCATAAAATGAACAATAAGTCACGTTTGAGCTAGCAGCCACAAACAGAGATTTACCTGAATGTGTCGGTCGAGCTTACCTGCGCACGTAACGTATAAAAGGTCTAGGTGGTGTGCCCAGACTGGCATATATTAAACTTCTTTTCAGATTCCGCATTCTATAAACACATCTCCGTGTTGTCCGTGCTTATCATCTACTTGTAGTGATCGTGCCTTTTGGGGATTGCATTTTCATAACGTTCAGTGTGAGATGAAAACACGCAGTGCAGCCGTGAAACCCGCTACACACTCTGCGCAGTGCATCCGTGAAATCGCACGCTCTGCGCGATTCCGAACAGGTGTCCAACACGCCTGTGTGGACGACTGATGCTAAACCTGGCGGCGCGACTCGTATTTCGCAAACCTAGTCTTAATGGTTGCCCGACTACGTATGCCTGTCCGACACGTGGCGGTGAAAACCCCACGCTCTGAAAAGTTCGGAATTTTTTGGCAAGTCCAGCAGCGAACGTGCACGTACGTATACCAAGTGTGCATTAGCACTTCCTGCTCAACATACGCTGTAAGCCGGTACTTTGCAGCCACGTGCGCTTACTTAATGAATCCGTTTCTTGAAACGGTAATGTCAAACCTCCGTGCCATATTGCAGCTGTCCAAGTGAGCGCCCGTGTGCAGCGTGTCTTAAAATAGCCAACGCATTACTTACATATCTCGAGTGCTTGGCAGGGCCACATACTAAGGGCGACGCAAAGCGCGCCGCAGCCAATTATCCAGGGCAAGCTTCTCGCCATGTCTCGCCGTCCTCTTTTTTTTCGCCGGTGTCGCGACCTGCTACGATGCGGAGGTCAAATGGTGCGAGTCGAGTCGTGCCACGTGTTTGGACCGCATGTGCCGTACACTAACTAAGCTCATGTTCCGCTTTCCTGGCAGTCGCCAGCTGCGAGCTCTCTTTTTTTGCCCCGTGTGCTGTTTAGAATGACAACAGGTGCAGGTATGTCTGTCCCCGTCGAATGAGATGCCGAGTCCGGTTGGATACAGGGTACCGTAAACCGATGGATCTAGCTGCGCTGCAATTAAACCGTAGTCAATATCATTATGCTTAAATGGGTCCAGTGTGGCTCAAATGAGTTTCATCGAAAAGAACTTAATGGGATACCGTCCTTTTTACGTATAACTGCTATTAGGGTTGTAGATAGAAAGTGATGGAGCGACAAAGGAAACAAAGACAAGGAGGTGGAAGAGAGGCTTCTGGTCCGCTACTTTGCTCACAGGTAAGAAGAAGGTCGCGAAAATGAATAAGAAGATCGTGTAAATACGCAGGTACGTGATGAAAAAGAACGAAACAGAGAGTGAAGAACGGGCAAATCATGGTCTCTAACATGCGACTAACTCGTAAAAGCGTCCCTAATTACTTGGTTGACTTTTTGTGTTGGCAACTAATGAGTTCGTCCTTCGAGGTTGAGTTTAGTGTAACCACCGAGCACTGTTGGTTGTTGTAGAAGGGGAAAAATTGTCCACGTTGTGCGCAGCCCCCGAAGAAAAGAATAAAAGAAGGCAAATGGGTTGACTTGTATGTGTTTCCTTTAGCCTATACAGTAAGCTCCGTCGTGTGTGCTGTCTTGTTCGAAGATCGAATTGATTAGCGAAAAAGAGTGTCAGCAGATGGAGAGCACATCGTACATGAAGTAGATTGATTGATTTGAAACGTTGTCGGACTACATACAATGTACTCCCGCTTTTTGGCTTCAGCAACATGGCATAAAAAGAAAAAAAAACATAAATGCCAGTGATCTCAAACTAGTGAGCTTGGTATTGCTGGTCAGGGAACGGCCGTCGTGAGCAAGGCATCGCGCCATATATTCAGCTTGGCTATGACGTGTGTGTCTTCGAGTGTCGAGTTGGTAGCCTCCTAAATGTCTTGTTGTATGTGAAACGGCGTACGTTGGGCTTTCTTCACAAAAACATTGATTGAATGATTGATTGATTGATATGTGGGGTTTAACGTCCCAAAAATACCATATGATTATGAGAGACGCCGTAGTGGAGGGCTCCGGAAGTTTCGACCACCTGGGGTTCTTTAACGTGCGCCCGAATTCGAGCACACGGGCCTACAGCATTTTCACCTCCATCGAAAATGCAGCCGCCGCTGCCGGGATTCGATCACGCGACCTGCGGGTGGCAGCCGAGTACCTTAGCCACCAGACCACCGCAACGGGCCCTTCACAAAAACAGCTTAGCTTGGTTCGGAAAGCGTGAGTTTAAATTAGTTCCATGGAATCCAACAAAGTGGAGGAAAGAAGGAGAAAAAAACAATACGAAAAGACAGGGAGGTTAGCCAGTTCTCAGACTGGCTGGCTACAAGGCGGAAAGATTACGAAAGGACAATTCAGCATTCGACCATTTGTTGCAGAAATCCGCATAGATTTCTTCACAGATCTGTGCTAAATTAAGAACGGGTTAACGTCATTTTTTCCCTTCATAACCAAATTCTGTGTGGACAACCAGTAATTACAGCCTATAATACGTGCACAGCAAGGTGGGGCTGAGCATGCATAGTCTTCTTTTCAACGAGGAAGTTCGTGTATCTACGCATCGTGTATCTAATCACAGCATTTGGCGCCACAACTTGCAGCATTGACTACAGGTCACTGAAAACTCGTTCGCAAATCCGTCTTACCCTGCTGCTGCTTTTAAAAGCAAACGCCAGTCAATCATGCCCTCACATAACTTTGCGAGTCATGGTGCTCTTTGGCCAAACATGGTCCTTGCTCCACTAAAACTCACATATCATCATCATTATCACAACTCTATAGGAGAGAATGTTGTGCGCAAGAGTAAGCCAGAAAGAAAAGAGCGGAAGCGTAAGAATAGGTTAGATGCGGTTTGCGGTTATCTTAATCGATATGCCTAAAATAATTGTTTTTCCAATTATTTTCTTCGTGTAGTTTTTTTTGCAGTATGTGAACAGTGCACATTTTAATCCAGTTCATTGTGTTAGGCTTCGTGTGTTTACGTCATTTATATTTATATTTACACTTCTTTCTAAAGTTTCGTTATCGCCCCACTTCCAGTTCTAGTACTGCCTTGAGCAAACCGCAACAGTTGACTCCGAATCATTCAGGTCATCTTAGAACCTTTCGATGCAAATACGCGCATGACGTGAACATTAGAGATTCTTCTGGAACTTACGCGGCTGCTAGTGATAACGCTGCAATATTCGACAGCACTTGTATGAATGTCAACGCGCATCACAACTTGAAAATTGATCGACGGCAGACGTTCGCCGCCATCAGTTCCATTGTGTATCGCTGTAATCTGACTTTCCGTTTAGCGGGCCACAAGTGCGGCCAAATAAACAGTTTCATCTTGGACACACAGTCTGCTCCCTTCGTCCACGTTGCAGCACCGCGACAGTATGACCTGCACTACTGTCGGTGAAACTGCCACGGTGGAGCTTAGATTGTCCGTCGGGGTGGATCAGTGCTTGTTGCTGACCCAAAGGTCGTGGGTTCAATTCAGGTCGCGGCGGCCGCAATTAGATGGAGACGTAATGCTAGAGAGAGAGAGAGAATTAACTTTAATAAAGGTCCTGAAGGGGCCTGGGCACCCCTTACGGGGGCCAGCCCGGTGGCTCCGCCCATGTGGGGACTGGGAGTCGGAGCTCGCCAGCCACCTTTTGGGCCTTCTGGACGGCCTGGTGTTGAAGGGCCCTGTCGGGGCTCCTGAGGTGGTTGAACCAGTCGTCCTCGGTGGCAGGGGACCTGAAGCTAGCGTTTAGCACGGGACACTGCCACAGCATGTGACTTAAATCGCACCTTGAATTTTGGCATTTGGGGCATTCTGGCCTTATATCTGGTAGGTATTTGCTGCAGATATAGGGGCTGGGGTAACTGTGCGTTTGCAGCAGTCGAAGCGTTAATTGTTGTGCTTTATTTAGTGCTGAGTGAGGTGAGGGGAATTCCTTTCTAAATAACTTATAGTGCGAGCAAATTTCATGATATGATAGGAGCGGCTCCCGGTGCGTGTTGGTGTCCCCGGCCAGTGAGCCGGACCGCGACCCCCCGCGGCACGTAAGATCACGCGCGAGGTTATGGGCCAGCTCATTACCGTTGGGGACCCCTGGTTGAACGTTGATCCCTTCATGACCAGGGAACCAGTGGATGTGCTTGTCTACAGTTATCTGAACAGATGCTAGAACTCTTAATGCCGCCTGGCAAAGTGTACCGCGGCGGTATGCCAGTGCAGCGGGTTTAGAGTCGGTAAATATTGTGTCGCGCTGAGGGAGTGCTAGAGCAAGGGCAATGGCCACTTGTTCAGCCTCGCAGGCTTTCTGAGTTTTTACGGTAAGAGCATTAAGAGCTTTTCCGTCTGGGGCGACCGCCACAGCTGCAAAGTAGGGTTTGTCCACGTATTTAGCGGCGTCTACGAAAACCACGTCTGTCGCGTGTAGGTTGGCCGCTTTTAGTAAGGATTGAGCTCGTGCCCTTCTTCGAGCCTGATTGTGCACCGGGTGCATGTTCCTGGGGAAGGGTAGCACTGTGATTTTAGCGTGAAGGTGTTGCGGTAATGATTCTGCTTCGTTGACTTGGGTTGGGATAGGAAGACCTATGTGTGAGAGGAGTTCCTGACCCGCAGCTGTCGAAGACAGGCGCATGAGTTGGGACATTCTTTGTGCTTCGATGATTTCTTGGAACGTGTTATGTACCCCAAGGGATAGCAGGCGCTGCGTGCTTGTGGACATGGGTAGACCAAGTACTCGTTTTGTGCATTTTCGGATGAGGTTGTCTACTTTAGTTTCATCGCCTTTGCTCCACGGGTGAGCGCAGGCAACGTAGTGAACGTGGCACATTAAGAACGCATGAAAGATGCGTAGTAAGCTTTCTTCTGTGAGTCCTGCGTGTCTATTAGCGACGCGTCGGACGAGGTGCATGACTGCCTCAGCTTTTTTGGTGAGATGTGTGATGGTTAAGTCGTTTTTGCCATTCTCCTGTAGGGTAACGCCCAGAATTCGAACCGACGACACTATCGGGATAACCGAGCCATCCATTGTGGAGAGGTGTATGGTAGGTTCGGCTTTGGTGCGGCCGTACTGTGGTGGCAGAAGCAGCAACTCGGACTTAGATGCCGATAGTCTGAGGCCCGTGGGCTTTAAAAATGTTTGTACTGCAGTGACTGCTTCCTGAAGGCTCGCTTCGATTTGTCCATCGCTCCCTCCAGTACGCCAAATAGTAATATCGTCGGCGTAGAGCGCGTGTTCTACACCTAGACGTAATGCTAGAGGTGCATGCACTGTGTGATGTCGGTGCTCGTTAAAGAGCACGAGATGGTCGAAATTTACGCCCCCCCCCACTACGTCGTGCCTCGTAATCATCTGATTGATTGATACGTGGGGTTTAACGTCCCAAAACCACCACATGATTATAAGAGACGCCGTAGTGGAGGGCTCCGGAAATTTCGACCACCTTGGGTTCTTTAACGTGCGCCCAAATCTGAGCACACGGGCCTACAGCATTTCCGCCTCCATCGGAAATGCAGCAGTGGTAGGCGGGATTCGATCCCGCGACATGCGGGTTAGTAGCCGAGTACCTTAGCCACTAGACCACCGTGGCGGGGCGTGCCTCGTAATCATATCAAGCGTATTATTATTATTATTATTATTATTATTATTATTATTATTATTATTATTATTCTGTACGTTGTTTGTACACTAAGGCCCTACGACGTTCAAGGGACGTCGTTATCACACTGACGCAGGTTAATCGTCGCGTGGTTGCACTGCCTTGACGTCATCTGAGCCGCCATGTCACGCGTCCCTGACGTCACGTGAAGGCTGCCAATGTTTGCTTCCAACTTCGTTTCAATTCAAAGCAAGAGACGCGCGTTAACAATTTTGCACGGCGTTGGTACACTGTGCCGTTAGGCCTATCGGACCGTCCTCGCTTCACATGTTGCACGGTATCACTCGTATGGTGACCGATGCGGGCGCTTTATACATTATCACTCTACATGTCGTATA